AGTCAGAACAATATGTTAACATTTCAAGTTGATGTCAACTGAACTTTTGCTCCCAAAAGGGAGGCTGGCAGACAAACAAAGACAAGAAAGCACTAAACATAGCATTTGACCTCATGATCTAATTAATGTTCAGCTATGTACAATGTATATATCAGTCAGTGTTCAGTGTTTCAAGTTGAAAGGAACAGCGTTTTGGATGGTTGCTGCTAAGTAACCGTCCTAGTTTTGGATCAAGAAGAATCTAAAACGAAATCCAGGACGAGAACAATGGCGACGTGTTGCTTTGCACAAACACATGGGTTGTACAAATTTTGAGTAGAAAGTCAAATAGTATAACACAGAAACTTCCTTTTCATGAAAAAGTACTCAACGTGTGACAATGTGAGCTCATAGAGCTCATTTTTTCACAAATACAAGTCAGGTTTGGCAACTTTATTTATTCAAAAAGGATTTATCACTGTAATAGATTGGTCCATTATTTCGGTGGCAGAGCGGAAAATTTTAGTAAGATAGGGAGTTAAAATAGGTTATAGCCAACATATAATTAACATGACCATTTCAAAAATAAGTCATCTCTTGTTTAATCCTTTCGCAAAGCAAGGATAAAAGCACGGGTGCGATGTTGGGCCCCCCTCGTATAGAGGTGGGCTTGGTCCACAACAAATTTAAGAAGCTTGTCAAAACCAGCATTCCACAATACATGAGTTCCTTTTTTACCTTCTTTTTATTTGCTCTCTAATTCTTTGATTCCATCAAATTCATTGGTGATAGCTAAACCGGAAAGGTTATTAAAGCTTTTAGCCCACATTAGATAAAATATGGTTTCTATCTTTTTTCTAACTTTGCCTTAGTTAGAAGTGACAAGTGTTCACAAACAAAATGATTAATAAGTTAAACAAGTATGGATGGATTCACCCAAAAGAAAATGATCCTTGCATTAGGTGGAATCCAAGATTGCGTGGAGACGTGGTAAACTTATCCTTTGCTAATCTTCCTAAAAGAATCCTCTTCCGGTCGTCACCTTTCACTAGAAATCAAAGAAGAAAGAACAGTACACAAAAGAAAAACGCTCAAGCAACAGTGCGATTTCCGGTCACCGGTATATGACCAATGACATGCAGTAAAAGTGCATGATGAATGCACTTCTTTATTAGTCAATCACCACAAATGACACTGTCCTTTAAATATTATTAATTGTTTCTACAATTACTATCTACATATTTAAATATATGGCATCGTTGACTTTGGTCAATCTATGCCAGTTTAACAACCATTTTTCTATTAGAATATAATGATAATATTTTCTTAAAAAGTGTAATATTATAAAATAAAGAAAAACATATAAGCATGATTTTTATGTTTCCAAACCAAATATATGGAGAGCTATTGATGATCAAAGCTTTGAAAGTTTTGACCGAATAAAGTCAACAGTGATATATATTTAAATACTAAGGGAGAGTGTTCTTATGAAATGACAATCCCCTAGTGGAGTATGAGCAAAAGGACACAACATCATAAGTTCATAACTATCCAATGGATTATGAGCTAATCCCATCAACACCCAAAAACATTTAATCGAAACAAAACAAAAAAGATTAAGTGAAGCAATTGGGAATTGCATCACTATCCACTTGCAAAATGGTCAAACATTTGGCACCCAACAAGGGAATAGAATCACACAACACTAATCTGCTGTTGTGCCAAAACAGTAAGCATAGTGGGCTTCATACTTTAGAGAGCCCACTTGCATTTCTCTGTGCATTAGGTTCTTTGATGAACCTAACCATGTTCTGCAGAGATGCTCAACTTTTCAGTCCTGGTTTTAGCCATCCAATAAAGCATGTTTACCGTTCCCTAAACCGTTTGCTTAGCAATCGTGTCAATGTCCCCAGCCATGAAATTAAGCAACTTTTTTCTATGCATCCAATTTACACAAACCAATGGAATCATTTGACTGCCCTTGGCACCTTTGTGGCTTTGCTGTTAGATGCCCTAAGAACACTAGGGACAGTTAGCAACCAGACACTAGAGAAACTGCTTGCTTGTCCTCTGGATGTGCTGTTTCAAGGGTGCAGCAACATGATCTTATATTCACTCAGTGATCATAAGGAATTTTGCCTCATTAAACAAGAATCAAAATTTTGTCGACAAACTACTTTCAAGCAAAGCAAATTGTTTCTGACCAAAGCGAAAAACAAGCAAAAGATTTGGAAACAACAGTGAAAAAAGGATTTTTTTTTCTTTTCCAGTTGATGATTCATCTGAGATTAACTATTTTTATTTATATAATGAGCTAGAGAGGCCTGACTATCTGTTATTATACCCAGAGGTAAAGATAAGAGGGATATGATGTGACAGAACCCAACAATAAGGACACAAGAGCAATCAAGGCACCATGCTCATTTTCTGATGCCAATGCTGCACCAGACACAAGAAGCAGCATGTTGTGTTCAGATTTTCAGAATTCAGAATAGAGCAGCTTGCAAGTTTCAGGCTCAGTGCCTGCATGGACCACATGCATTCTGGTCGATCATTAGATGGTGCAGTGCAACTGTGCAAAGGCAGCATTGCAGCAACAACAAGATGGTGACAAGAACAAGCATATGCATGGACAGTGGCACTCAACTCATGGTGTTGGTCTCTCTTGGCCACACACACATTGGGAACAGGTTGCCGTTTTTTTTTTTTAGCCTGTAACCAAGATGACTGTTGAACATATGATACAAGATTTCAGGGTGAGCATTGGAGCATTGTCAAAGGTTTTCTTCCAACTGAAACTTGGTTTATATAATAGGGAAACTAATACAGTGTCAACCATAGATTGAGGTTGATTTACAATGATCGGCACCTCGATTCGGAAGAACTCGTAAGTCAAGTAGTTGGTTGATACTGCTGAATCCAAAGTGGTTTTCAGAACCTCTTCTATTTGGGAGTAGCTTGGAGAGAGTGATGTTACTAGCTTCAGTATCTGCATTTCTTCAGGGACAACAGGAACTATAGTAATCAAGTTCAGTTGCAAGGCAATTCTAGTCTGATTGCTGCAAATTCAGGCCGCCTATGTATTTTAGCATCTTCCAAACTTCCTCAATACATGAGAAGTTCTGATTAGGTAATCAAATCGTAATACAAAGATACGCAACGTGCGAATTCCCGAAAAAGTTTTGTTTAGGTAATGGAATGAATATTACAGCTGCACATAAAGCTTGAAACAGTATGATACACTACTCAAAGCTAATGCTTTGGTACAGAAACAGTAGAATGAAGGATAAGTGGCAGTTAGATTCCAGTAATGTGTTATCGATATCAGATCGATTATTACAGTATAAGCTATGCGCTTCGCTACAAAAAACGTCGCAATGAGGAGGATTTTTCTTCTCTAAAAGCCTCTTGTCTCCTCTTTGAAAGAGACAAGAGCTACCCTGTTTCAATATTGACATATGATGACTGTTCCTCAATGATGAACTCTAAGACCTCTCACAGAAAAAAATAATAATAATAGTAAATAAAGAAAAAAAAAACAGCTCCGGATATGACTGAATGAAAGGCTCCTTCCTTCCATGGCAAATAAGATAATATACAAAGTTCCGTACATTTCAGGTTTTCTAGCCTATGATTAAAGTTGATTAGGAGTAGTAGTAATCCTGAAGCAACTAATCTGCACTGCTTGACTGCAAAGGATGGCTTATAGGAACCCTGAAAAGGCATGCAGCATTACATTTGCATCTTGTTTTTTTTTTTCAGAGAGAACATTTATAGATCTATTAACGTAGCGTAGTCGTTAGATGCAGATTATCTAAAAGAAGTCATTAGATGCAGGTCTAATTCGGCAACATAAGGATTTTCAGACTAAACATGAAAAGGTTTATATATAAATAGTTGAGTCCGTTTATACAACATAGGGTTCAAAAAGGTATTCGAACATTCAAAATAGGCAACGAATTTAACTTGGGCCGAATTTAGGCCTCCTTCAGTCCTTTGGAGTGGATGAAATTATAGGAAATTACTCCCTCCGTCTCTAAATATTTGACATCGTTGATTTTTTAGCACATGTTTGACCGTTCGTCTTATTCAAAAACTTTTGTGAAATATATAAAACTATATGTATACATATAAGTACATTTAACAATGGATCAAGTGATAGAAAAAAATTAATAATTACTTAAATTTTTTTAATAACACGAACAGTCAAACATATTTTTAAAAATTCAACGGCGTCAAATATTAGAAACGGTGGGAGTAATTAATAATTCTAATTTATGTGCAAATCCTCGACTCAGTTTAATTACTGATTATTGTGTGCCTAAATTATTGGCATATCAACCACGATCAAACTTTACATTTTAAACTTAATTTTCATAGTTGATTTTAGGGATTTTTTTCCCATTATACTGTATTTTGAAACTTAATTATTATTTTTTAGAAAAGGCTATATGTACTAACTTTTTCTTACTAAATTCTTACTAACACTGATGTGTCATGCTATGAGTGCATCTAGATTTTTTGTAACTTCCATCTACTTAAATTAAACGGTTGAGATGATTGTTAGTAAAAGTTTAGTAAGAAAAATTTAGTACATGTAGCATTGCTCTTATTTTTTTGCTTTATTTTTAGATCAACCGACCGGCCGTACTTTTCATGATTGATCCTATTTATTTTTTGGTTTTTATCTGTGTTAACCGTTACTAGCCCACCGACAAAGTGCACAAATACAGTTGTAGTGGTTTAGTCCAGTTAATCTTGCAGTCAATAATTTAATCAAGCAGCCTTACATGTCTGCCCATCTTGCAGCCTTCCACATGTACTTACTTCCTATAGAGGTTATTTTCTTCTTTACAGAAACCAAGGCAGATTACCACGCAGGTCATGCTTGCTTACTGCATGAAAAAATAGCATGAAGACGACTCGAATATATTATTTCCAAGTGGAGAAAGAATTCTGCAGAATCCTTCTTGTGAACTCAAGGTTGTTTGAAATTTCAAGTAGATGGACACACATCAAAATAATGATAGGAAAACAGTATACTGTTAGTATGTATTTACACTCTCCTAGCTTTACAAGAGTAGTGGTTACCCTTGCCTTCCAAAGAGGCAAGAAAACAAAGGGAAAATCCATAGGAAAATGATCAAATGCTGTTACATGTCAAGCTTGATTCTCACCCACCAGAATGGCAGGGTGAAAAAAGATGAAAAATTTGCAAACAGAAGAGAAATGAGCCCCCTGATCTGATCAAATGATCAGTCACTCCAGCAGAGAAGCATGACGACGCAGCGTCGGATGATGTAGAGCCTGGCCTTCTGCTCCCTCAGGACATTCTGCAGCTTCCCCCTCTTCTTCTTCACCTTCTCCATGGCTGCCAATGCAGTGGAACACTGAAAAATGCAATGCGAATCAAGGTTCAGAGCGCTCTCTCTCTCTCTCTCTCTCTCTCTCTCTCTCTCTCTCTCGCTTGCCTTCAGGCGAATGCCGATATGCGGGTAGAGAATGAGACTGCAGTGATGCAATCTTTGCTTATATAGAGGAGCCAAAGGATATCTCTAGAGCTTGCACCATAACCACCCACCACCTCACATGCAATTTCAGTACTTATTTTCTTTTTTTGCCTTGGAGGAGACACTTCCAAGTCTAAATGCATGCCCCTGATATTCTATTGCTTATGATAATGGTTAAGGAGGGTGAGCACTTACTTAACAATGTGATCATAGATGGACCCTTGATGGGTGCTGAGGCACAGTACCCAGGGGCTGCTCCATGATTGAGGACCATGCGCCGCGCCGCGGACAGGATCAAGTGGCCATACATGCCTGCAAGCAAGAAAGGCAACCATGGTTCCATTGTTTAGTGCCCCCAAGGGAGGCTGTTCATGGTCCTCAAACAGTCAAGCCTACCATAATCTCTGCAATTTTGGTATCTCAATGCAGAAGCTTAGCCCTTAAAACTACTAAAAGGGCACTGGAGACACTGTAGCAAGTCTGAAAATATGAAAAAAACCCAGTGAAGGGACTGGATAAGAGATTTCTTTTCTCCTTACCTGCAGATTGCTCATGTGCATTGCTCATACTGACTACAACAACTCTAATCAGATCCATGCTTGCAAGTTCTTTCAGAATATACTAGAGTTTTCCTCGCACTAGAAAGGGACACAGCACAGCACAGACATACCTGGGTTGGAAAGAAATGAGAGGTTGTCAAGCAAAATCAATTCAGAGATTCATCAGTCAACATTTACAAGAAGAGAAATTCTTGTTGATAGACCTATCAATCTAGTACCAGCAAAAGGTAAATAATACTTATTCATGGATATGAAAGATCCTAATGTGTTCATTTTTTCTTTTTGCAAGGATAAATACTACTGTTAGTGTCCGTGCTCGCCATCGGTATGGTCTATTCTTGACTTAAGTATACTTCCAAGATTCATTCCATGAAAAACAAACCAGGTTCTTTCCATGACAAACAAACAATGTTTGGATTGACATTAGCTGGCACTGATGAACAGATCAAGGTGGGGGGCTAAACTCCAATCATGAGATAATTCCAAATGGACAACCCTTGAACTGACTGAAGTGACACAACCCAGGCCCCTACACTAGCCCTGCAACTACTTGGATAGGCAATCACAAAAGACAGCAAACTAACAACTTGAACAGTCAATTAACTACAAGCCAGGGCACTAGGCAACGAATCAAAGCACTAAACTACCAGATGACCAATGGTAATCGTGATCCAGAACACAATTTGTAGATCTTTAACATTCAGATGCCATGCTTCATTTCAAACCATCCTTATAGGTCATAACCAGGGTTCAACTATCAGAGGTGGTATAAAATTTCAGGGGTCACTGAAATTCCAGGGGCCCAAAATACCTTAAGTCTTTGTTGTCAGTATACATGTAAACGAAACAAACATCTCAGAGAATAAATTTTGATAATTTTCAAGCAGAAGTTGGAAAATTTGAATGCCTAAAACTTTTTGACCTTTATGAAGTTCTATACGGAGGGACTGAAAAGTCAAAGTCATAGGAATTTTTCAAATTCCATTCTGAAATTTCAAACCTTGGTCCGAACTGCTACAGGTAAATAATGTAAATTACATTTTTGTACACGGCACACCTATAAGGTAGCTAGTGTGCTCCTTTTCCTCAGACAACATGGGTACTCTGCATGTGCTCAATAACTCTTAACTATTTGTGTTAAATTTCTACCTAGTAATGAGGAAGCAGTTAACAGAGGCAACTAAAAATGATAGTGAGGTTATGATCAACTCATTGGTCGAGACCAAAATGTTGGTTAACATGAGACAGCGCCTGTGTGCTACACGACCAGCATTGAGACATCTAATGTCACATGCTTGACTAGCATTCATACAGAAGATTCAATGCTTGGTCAGACAATGTTGCATGTGCTAATTATTATCAATCATATATATTCATAACACATTAAATCAAGGTCAAAACTAAAATCCAGCAGCCTTAATCCAACTTGGCCTCAAAAAAGAAAAACGCCAACTTAATCCAACTATATGAAAGATACTTCAGAAAGTTTAAACTTAGCAACAGAAAGGTAATTACTAATCAACTCATGATAGAAAATAACAAAGAGACACACAAATGAAAACATGGGAGCTCTCTACAAGTACAAGTGGCAAGCAGCAGACAGGCCCTATATAACAAAGTGCCCAGTGTTTTGACTGGGAATTAGGGAGACATGGAAATTCAGTAAAGAACAGAGCATCAAACGGCTACATTGTCCACAAGACAAGAACACTCCAACCAAAGCGTGCGCGCACACACAAAAGCTATTTCCTGGTCATCTAGAATAAGTACACTACAAAGTACTTTTCAGTCAAAAAAGATATGCTGATTGCACGGATGATCAGTGCACTCGTCCCATCTTTCCTAGCAGCTTCCGAACGTATCAAGAGGACATGAGGAGATCTCTAAGATGCTTGAACACTGGTTTTTAAGAACTTTTGCAACTCTTTAACCACACAATCTACCGACAAGAGGATATACTACAGTACTAAAACACATTGTTAATTCTGACAAGTCCAAGAAGATCTGGGGGATGCAACAAAACCATAATTAATTCCTCCAACGAAATCAGATGGGCAAATTACAGTGCAGTGAGATATACCAAGTATCTCCATGGAGAAGAAAAGCAAGATAAGGGAATAGTTTACGATACCAGCGGCGCATGAGCAGCACTGCCAGTGCCAGATACCAAGAACCTTCATCGGAGCCATGCTGAACCACTGAATCTGCAGATTTCTACACGTATGCAGGTGGCAGCAGGATGAGCTGTCCGTTATCTGAAATGATCATATCCATCAATAAAATCAAGCTTTTTGTCGGCGACAAGAACAATAAGCTACATTCAGGTTCAGAGATTTGTCTCCCTAGATTAAAGAAAGCAAAGGAAAACTAAAGTATTAGCACGATTGCATGGGAGCAGAGGTGCGACATGCTTTGCCTCCTCTCTATAAATCATTAGCCTCCTTCCAAGTTCTGTACCACAGCAGCAAGCTCCAAACGTAATCATCAGAGAGCAGAGACACCTACATTCATCACCATTGTAGCTTCTGTTTCATCAAGCAAAACTGAAGCCATGAAGACTGTGAACCAAGGCAAGCAGAGAGGAAGGATGACCAGAGCTCTGAAAGAGCATAGAGCCAGGCTCTACATCATCCGCCGGTGCATCGTCATGCTCCTTTGCTGGCATGAATGAACTCCAGTACTGCATGTTCTTCCATTGGATCCCATCAAGGATCCATGGAGAGTCTACACACATAGCTAGGGAACTATATCAGTTAGAAGTAGAAACCAGGAAGGAACTCCATGTGCTCATGCTAGGTTGAGGTTGCATTGAAGCAAGCTTGGCAAGTCTAGAGTTCCTATCATTTGTTTCTTGAGTTTTTTTTTCTTCTTTTTTTTCCCTTTTATCCAGTTCTTTTGTCCTGCTGCTATCCCTTTGGCAGTGGGATATGGTAGGTCTAGCTTTTTGTACATGCTATGTATTGTAGCAAGCAGTCTACCTAGGAATGATTCAGCAGAAGAACAGCAAAGTTGATCGAATTCTATCGAGTGAAACTGAACTTTTTTTTACATTTCTACATCAAGTGAGTCTATATCTGTCTTTTCTTGACATGATGACTAAGCAAATAACTTGATTAATGGAATCTTTACTGACTATAATGTCTTAAGCAGAAAGAATGAAGCCTACTGAAGCCTATCATCTGTTCTTAATTACCCACATGCAACACTGCATCCAGGCAGCAGGGCTCTAGCCTCTAGCTAAGACCTAAGTTAGCCACCAGATCATATGATATTATCACCCACAGATAGGACAAAATCACTAAATAACCAGCTGCAGTGCAGTCACAGATACAGAGAGAAACAGTGCTCACCAGGAATGCAGGGGCCTTGTCTTCTGGGAAGATCTGAGCTCCTCCTGCATTTCTTAAGTTATCAGAACAAAAGAAAACAAACACAGGATGCAGAACCACAGCAAATGCAGATGTGACCAAACAAATGCAGACAAAAGTGGAGCAAGCTGACAAACGCACGAACACACGCACGCACGCGCGCACGCACTGAGGCACGTGCAGGACATCTTCTGAGCAATGGCCAGGAGGGAGTCCATTTAGTCTGCTTTTGCACCCAGGTCAAAAGTGAATTCTGGCTACTAGGAATGAGAGCACCGGTGCCCACAATCCTTTGATGGACTGAGAAAAAGCATTGCTGATAGTAGCAAAGATATTCCAGTGGCATTGTTCAGTCAAGATTCAGAAATTCATATTAACTCTGAGTAAACTTCCACTCAGAAAAAAAAAACTCGAATACACAGGAGGACTGCGTACCATTGCATTAAGAAGGAGCTTCCACTCAGCACAAAGTAATAGTGTTCTCTTTGTAGATTGCTGGATTCCATACCTCTGCTACATTGGTCACACAAAACAAATTGACTGTATTTCTCTAAGACAAGAGAATCAGGTGCCTGAGACTAACATATGAAGCAAAGAATTAGGTAAGAGCTTTGTGCCTCCTTACTGTATGCACAATATATTACTTTCTCTTGTGTATGGTATACAGATATTTGTAATATGCATCAAGTTCAATGGTGCATAAGACTTCACACATATAGATAGAGCATTAATAGTATGACAAAAAGAAAAAACTAATTCCATTTTTTTCCATCGAAGGTGCAAAGTACAAAGCATCTGATACAAATCACTGCAAACATTTAAAAAGTGCAGTTTCGAAAAAAGAAGTAAAGTGCCATCACTCAATTTCAAGTCTTGCAACTTGCAAGTTTCCACAGTGGCGATCATCATCAACAGCAAACGGAACCATCAAGTTGTAGGGCAATTAAGAAGTGATTTTCCATATCAATTTTTCTCAAGTTGTACAAGAGGGGGGGACATCTCAAGACTGTAGAGTTGGATCTCTCACAAGCTAGAGAAAAAGGACATCTCCCAAAATGAAACCTTCAGACTACAGAGCGGTACATTGCCAAACTATACAGAGCAACTACACCTCAGTTCTAGCTAAATCCTACCAAAATGGCAGAGCCAAAAAAAATTCCATCCAGAATGGAATGGAAAACAAGGTCCGCAATGGACATCGATCAATCGCTCCAGCGGAGCAACATGATGACGCAGCGGCGGAAGATGTAGAACCTAGCTCTCTTCTCCCTGAAAGCTCTGTTGAGCCTCCCCATCTGCCCCCTTCGGCCTTCAATCTTCATAGTCTGATGAGAATGCTGGGTGCAGGGCAAAGGATGGAAGAGATGGAGATAGACAAGTTGTAGAATGTAATGGCTAGTGTGTGGTATGAGAGGGAAGCTGGAGTGAGGGGCCTTTATATAGTGGCACAGGAGGGGATATGCCATATCAAAAGAACATCATACCCCCACATGCAGGCAGTTTGTTTATGCACTAGGAGGCACACTTCTGACCCTAAACTTATCATAATCACTATTCTATATTTCTATCTGTATAGAGCTTAGGAGCTAGCAAAAACTTAAAATATGCATGGCCACTAACAAGAGAATTACTGTGGTAAAACCAGACAAGATAAAGTGGTCAGGCAGGTGCAGATTGTTTACTAACCCCAAGAATGGGACTCCAAAATGTCCTAGCTCCTTAGCAGGAAGCTTCCAGGAAGGTCACCTTGATGCATAGAATAAAACTGATATAAGTGTATCACCAACAGATGTTAAGACCTGGTTAACTCTCATTGCAAAATGTTGCACCATCAGCCAAGCTGGGGTGAAAACTTCAGATTTCTATGAGACTTGTCTGATTTCACTTTCCATGAACTGGCATGGGGCTATAAGTAATTAAGATTATCCCTGACAAACACTAAGAACGAAGTATTGCAGCTATGACTTAGAAATTATTATCTACAAGATCATAAAAATAAATCTTGGACTTCTAGGAGACCTGTATGCTAAAATTCCCAACTCCTTTTACATTCCATGCACTGAGATGGAGGTAACTCCAACGTTATACTTTCATCAGTAATGAATCTCAGGTAATGGTGATTCAGTCGGCAACTTAGGAACAGAATAGTGCTATAACCTATAAGGAACTTTTGATGGCAGATTGAACATATATACCCTGGAATCTGGATAATTTTTCAGTAGGAGAGCCCTTGAAAGGTGTTCTCTATCTACTCAGGACAATATCCTTAAAAACAGGCCGTTCAGTTGCATGCAACTTAACAACTGCATAAATTTGAAAAGAGCATATAACTTGATAGCTTCTGTCTTTTGTTCTTACTATGTAAATTTTTTTCCCATGGAAGCATTAGAATACAGATTTGAACTATCAATGTCCCCAGACTCTCAGACTGTTCTTTGCAGTACAAAACTTGCCTTCTGGTAAGGTGACAAGTTCCCAAATGTTAATATCACTAATTGCCTTTATTTCTTCTTTTCCTGACAGAATGTTTTAACCTATGTGTTTCATAAATTCCAGTGCCTAAAATGTATTTGCTTAGATTTTCATAAACTTGGAGTATATAGTGATTCCAGCTGAAAATGGCTTGCCTTAGCTCATTTACCATCGGAAATATCTTGTATAGCTCGTGTGGTTACACAAGCATCATCAGTGAAGTCACTACAAGACATTGTTAAGTCCAAAAGAGTGCAAGAGGAAACCATAAAAATTTCAGGATTGAACAATAATCATGCACTGGGGAATCAAATCAGAAGAAAATCTCCATATGCACTGAATCTGTCTCTACTACTGAAGTCATACGCTAGGAAAAAATGCTGAGGATGACAAGGTAGATTGAACGGGCACCAGAAAGAAACTTCCTATTTTGAAGGGTAATGCAGCATGATCTCAGTCTTTAGTTTCAATCAGTGAAAGGGAGTGGAACCTTTTGTTATCAGCAAAATTAATTCAAGTCTTTGATGTTCTTTTCTCTTTTATTGCGGAGATTTTTTGCATACTAATTTATTAAGTTTGAATCCATGTTTCTAGCTGAAGTAACATAGGCCCCCATGCTCGTTTTCTACTAGAAGCTAAAAGGTGTGCCTTCTACTGGACAATAATGTGATCGAGCCTTCTTTTAGCAAACATAACAAAGAAAGATAAAGTCCTGACATTATTCACCACCTTCTAGATATTCAATATTTTCAGGTATAGCTATATTTGGAAGTACACCTTAGTTCAGAAAATTGTAACCTTTCTTAAGGGAAAAATTAAAGTCATGCATAGACTAGAAAACGATTAGCACAAGATGCATCATTCATAAACTCAACAGAATAAAATCTATTCTGGACTACAGTCCGAACATATCAAGTCCTATCAATCGGAGCAATGCACAAATATAGTGAAACTTTCTAATGCAAACATACAGCATCTTAGGGGAAAATCTTATAGCTAATGAAAGTTTTAGCCGTCCATATAATAATGCAGTAAATGTTTTTTTCGGACAATCCACACCAGACAGCGCGAAGATTCATTGAATAGAGCAGGAAAAAAATTACAAGGCTAGAACCCTGGGAGGCCATAGCCAGGAAAGAAGAAAAATATCCACCAGCGACGCACCGACAGCACCTACACACAGGCCAGGAGAAGGCGCACCTGACCGGCTGCCGCTAGGCCAACAAAGGAACTACAACCAAGATCGCCCAAAACCCAACCCTAACATCCGAACACCGAACACCACTCTAGCCACCTCTTTGGGATTGAGGAGAGAGGGTGAGAAAGATGGAACCACTCTCCCCTCTAGGCCCTCCAACGTGGCCAGCTTGTGTAAGCTAGGACGCCAACACAAGAGGACATGACATCTAGAGTAACTGAATTAGTGATTATTTTGGGGTTGTTCAGATTGATGCCATTTCAAACCATACCATTTTTTGATAAAGTTGCCAAATATGTGCATCCATTTAGTTTTTTACCAAACTCTAGTAAATACATAAGAAATGCTGCCAAAACTTGCCAATGTTGCCAAAATTTGGTAAGGTTTATTTTGGCTATAATCTAACAAGCCCTTTGTAAGTTGTTGCTGTACGGATGGTGAACGACAAACAATATTATTTAGAGATAATTCCTTCCAGTAAGAAAAATAAATAGGAAAAATAGACGAGACAATAATTTGCACAAATCAAGAACATAACACACACTGTTCCCTGATACTATTCCTTAAGAATATAGTGCCCTTGTTATTAGTAGGAAGCCCGACAAAATGTTAAGTGGAGGTTTCAAATGATTCCCTCTCAAAATGATAATTGTACGTTTGTAGAGCACATACCTGCCATTGGAGCTAGAGGAACAGCCCATCGACAAAAGCAGGCAAGTTGCATTACTATCACCTTAGAAAGACCATTGAGTCCATTCAATCCTAGTTGTGTATAATATCCCTGTACTCTTGACTAGCAGTACTGTCTTGGTAAAACCAACTTTTCAATATCTTCAATGCTACAACAGAACATCATTGCCAGGATGCATGCATGAGAATCAGAAATGAGTGAGAACCAAGACAGTCCATGTTTACTATGAAAAAGTTCCGAGTATCAATACTCAACATCCAAAGTTGTTCTGAATATGATACATTAATCGGAGAACGATGAGACAAAGATGGTAACTTGTGTATCTTGGAGAACCTCTAAAAGAGCTACAGCATGGACCATGCTACATACAATTTGCATAGCAAAAACATGTTATGTTATAACATCAGATCCATTTGGCAATAGAAAATGTGGAAGCCTAGATGCACCGAGATAATTTGAAAGTTGTACCTTTAGAACTAAGAATAATACTCGAAGGGATCAGTACATTTTTAAGACAGGAGACCATATCCTTCAGTTTTCGAGGAGTTAAATTACCGTAAACTCACTTACATAGCCTTCATGTGAAGTACTTGCAAGCTGCACTACTCCAAGGATAAAAGAAAAAAAATTAAGCGAAACAATAAAGTCCTCTTATTCCTACACAGTACACAAGAAGAAGCACCAAATCCTTAAAGCTGCTCAAAACTGTCGAAATATGCATAAGATCCTACCAACCCTTCATACAGATTGTAAAGGTGAGTAAACCTCCCCAGAGAGATCTCAAAAGTAGCTCAGAGAGGAAAATAAAGCAGAACAAACATATAATTTAGCTATCCAAGAACAGCCTTGTCTGGTATAAATGAACTCTTGTGGAGCAACTCTGTAGGAATCATCAAACAATTCTGCACACTGCAACTTGCATGTTATTATAAGGCTTTTTTTTATGGCAGGAAAGGGTTTAAACAAGTCCACCTATAATCCAATCCAAATTGCCTGAACTAAAAGCAGCTTTTTTGTGATATCATGAATGCTCACATGGTCTGATGCACGGTATATGCTTATGGTTAACTTCAGCGAAGTATAAGTTTCAGAGTCCATGGCAAATTCTCAACTCTCAGCATGAGAGAGAATAAGACATATAAAGAATGTGAGCTTTGTCTCCTAAGTTGCATTCAACTTATTCAACTTGGTTATAATGCATATCTGCATGTGAATGAGTTCACGGAGTGTCCTATAAAAGGCTCCTACCTCTTCACATGATAACCAGATCTACATAAACTCAAGCAGCAAACTCTTACATTGCTTCGCCTTCTACTTCTCCAATCAAAATAAGTCAGTAAGTCACTATCAGCCTTGTGCACATGAAAGCAGAGAGGAAGAACATAAGAAGTGGAAGATTCATTAGAACTCGGAAAGAGTGTCAAACTCGGCTGTACATCATCCGATGGTGTCTGGTCAGGCTCCTCTGTTGGCATGATTGACTTCAAATCTTCAACGCATTTGTCATCAACATTTCTTCAACCCACGGTCTTTTTCCTTAGCCTATATAAAATATTTCAGGGAAGTCATTATGTCAAGGAGTCAATCGAGGTGTTACAACTTATTGAAGCAAGAGCTGATTGAGAGATCTAGCTGCAATTACATAACTGGGATTTTTGTTGGAATTATGAAAGCAACTTCTTCTCCAGTTTGTTAGTTGAGAAAATTTTGTAATTCTTATCCTTTTCTTGCCTGGTTAACATGACATTTTGCTTTTGTATTAGATCACATTGGATGTACATTCTTTCTGCTAATTAAAACTTAGTTTCTTATTAAATCACATCAGTTGTAAATTGTTTACAAGGGAATAATGTTTCTTGTAGCAAATAATGAAAAGGCGGGCTAAAGGTTCTGAATTATCCGGCTGTTGTATATAATTAAAGCAATTGCTTTCCACTTGATCAGTTAATGAGGAAACATCAAACCTGCTTCAGAATGCGTATTATAAGAACTATTATTCACTTTCATCTCCTTTCATCATCATGCATCAGCTCCACAGATCAATGAGAATATCAGAAAGTGACAATAACAGATCTTCTATTGCCATTTTCAGAGAAATGCTATTGTAACTGAAATTTTTTTAAAAAATCACTTTTACTAACCTTTGTTTACACAAACATACAACAACAGTAACACATAATAACTTCTGCAGTATAAGCTACATGAAGTATATCATATAAGGTAAGCAAGTGTGCATATTATATTACCTGACATAATGAAGCCTTCAATATCTTCATAGATGGACAGGGTTATGCAACATAAAAGCATAAAGCAACAAGTTTCTTATGGCACCTCTAGCCTTGTCCAATTAAGAGAGAGTTGCTACCTATCCATCAAGGAATTCAGCATCATAACAGATCTCAAATAAACATTATAATCTAAAAGGACTCATACATGCCCATAACGGGAAGAAAATCTTTTACTGAAACAGAGCTTTAATAGAATCCACCTTCTATTGTTAAGGAACTGAACCGGTTTCATTTTACTTGTACTCAGATATAGATTCATGTTTTCAAATATATGTCAAATTACTAAATTGACATTCACCAGATGTGTTGACTTTTGCACCCTCTGTACCGAACAGAGCTTGCATAACAGAATGCACATTCTATTTAAGAATCGAACTGCTTGCATTTTACTTATACTCAGATATACATATTACTTCTATTCAAATATATGCCAAACTACTATATTGGCATGAAACAGTAATACTTAATGAATAGACTTGTGCACTGCTTTTACCAAACAGAGCTTGAATAACAGAATGCACCTTCTATTAAGGAACTGAACTACTTGCATTTTACTTATACTCAGATATAGATCTTGTTTGTATTCAAATACATGTAAATTACTTCATTGGCATGGAATAGTAATATTTAATGAATTGACTTTTGCACTGTTTTGCCAGACAGTCAGAATGCACCTTCTATTGTTGAGGAACTGAACCACTTGCATTTTACTTCTAATCAGACATAGATCTTACTTGTAGTCACATATATGTAAAATTAATTCATTGACATGAAACGCTAATATTTAATTAATTGACTTTTCCATTCAACAATTGGCCCTTTTGACTTCATGTTCTTTGCAGACCAGTGCTTCATTTTACTTATACTTAAGTATACATATTACTTCTATTCAAATATATGCCAAACTACTATATTGGCATGAAACAGTAATACTTAATGAGTAGACTTGTGCACTGCTTTTACCAAACAGAGCTTGAATAACGGAATGCACCTTCTATTAAGGAACTGAACTACTTGCATTTTACTTATACTTAGATATAGATCTTGTTTGTATTCAAATACATGTCAATTACTTCATTGGCATGAAACAGTAATATTTAATGAATTGACTTTTGCACCGTTTTGCCAGACAGAGTCAGAATGCACCTTCTATCATTGAGGAACTAAACCACTTGCATTTTACTTCTACTCAGACATAGATCTTACTTGTATTCACATATATGTAAAATTACTTCATTGACATGAAACGCTAACGTTTAATTGATTGACTTTTCCATTCAACAATTGGCCCTTTTGACTTCATGTTCTTTGCAGACCAGTGCTTCTTTATGATAAGATCTAAGGACCACCAACAAAGAGTCAAACATTACAATTTACTTGAATGCTGCAGTCAAGGAGACAAAGGGTGTAACAAACCAGGTATTTTGGCTTTGCTTAGTGGTTAGGTAGCAATCTATTGAGCATCCAATGATGCCTGATATTCACTTTAAAAAATGTCTCATCTAGGAACATGCAGTCAACAATTACTTCAAAAGTCAAACTTGAGAACTGTTTTCTGGTATGAATGAAACTGCTGAAGAATACTGAGTGTAGCTTGAAAGATAACACCGAGTACCATAGGACCTGCAAGACTGCAACACTCTCCTAAAATAAGTTCTTTTTTTTTGCTGGGGATCCTCAAAAATTGTTTGACATCAGCGCTCTCCACAAATACTGAAGAACTGATATGTTAAAACTAGGACAGAAGAAACATTATGTATATCATATCAAGAGCCAACAACCACATTTGATTCCACTGAACAAACAAAAAAATACGATGATTAATTGCAAATCACGGCATGCGCTTGTCAGATCTTTCAAGGTGTATAACATCTAGTGATTTGCAGTCTTCATCATAATCCATAAGCTATGCAATTTAAAATGTGTAACTCACAAAATATAGGAGACATTCCTAATTGAGTCCTAGGGAGAAGGAATTTGGTAGGATGAGATCAAACAGAGGGGAGGAAGAACCAGTATAACGAGATGAAGAGGAATTTGGTGCTGAAATGTGTTTTCTCATTGAACAAATGAAGCCTTATACTTCCAACAGTTAGCCAGTCCTACATATTACAGAACTCAATACTACTCACACTTTGTTAGGAACCTTGTAGTCCTCTAGTGTATTACAATATGGTCCCAAAAAAAAGTGAAATGATGTATATTGGCCAGGAAATCAACAATGTGCTATATGTACCATGTAAGTAAAGGCACAAAGAAGGGACAGAAATTTGCCTTATTATAAATCTAATCCTTATAATTACACTTAACAAATAGAGAAGGAACAGACAATGTCAGATTATTCTATTAGGTTACTTCAAGTACGGAACCAAATATGTTGCAATCATTTTATCATTGGTCAATGCAGCATCTACCCAAGTTAGGTTTATTACAAGATATGAGTCCTTGAAGAGAAAGTGACTGTTCATTGAACCATGGCTGATGTATTGAAAAAAATTGTATGTGGATAAGAAGGATAAAATAGCACAAGATATATGGCAATAATAAGCTGATTTAGAGTCTTTTTGGTTCATTTTGGTAGGGAACCAAACATTCTTCATCTCCAATTTACCAAACTTTGGTAATGCCAAAACCTGCCCATGTTTTGGCATTACAAAATGTAGAATAAGTAGAATAGATGCCTCTCACAAAGTGTGGAGGTGAAATCTCATATATATATAGCTGAGTTACAGTTAGTGCTACAAAAGACCAAGAGTTACACTTAATGCTAGTGCTGAGTTTACACTAAATTCTATAAGTTACATAAGCCCAAAAGTCTAGAAGAGAAACAGTCTAAGGATTAATAAATAATCCTAATACAAAATTATGGTAAGGTAGAAAATCAAACCAGCCTTTAAGTACATAAGATCTAACAAGGTCAGACTATATTAGATGGATAAGTATCTATATTTCATTATGCTTATCACATACTCCCTCCATCCCAAAATAAGTGTAGTTTTGCACTGTTCATGTCCAACGTTTGACCGTTTGTCTTATTTGAAAAATTTTTATGACTAATACTTTTATTGTTATTAGATGATAAAACATGAATAGTACTTTATGCTTGACTACTTTTTTAAATTTTTTTCATAAATTTTTCAAATAAGACAAACGGTCAAACGTTGGACACGGATACCCACGGCTGCACTTATTTTGGGACGGAGGTAGTACATCACACCACCAATTAAAATCACTGTGACTAATATCCCATCATATAATGCACTTATCCACATGTTATTCCGCAAGCAAGTGAAGAACAGCAATTGTCACATGTTATTCCGCAAGCAAGTGAAGAACAGCAATTGTACAACTTGATCATAACTTACAACAGCAATGACCTCAATGGTCCATATCATATCTACTGCTATTTCTTTCAAGTGTCCACAGCTTGTATAATCATGAAAAGAATAATAGAACAAACTAACGCCTTACATTAGGAGATTATCCAGACCAGGAATATCAAATGGTAGCTTTATAATGCCGAGGGCAATAGACAGGAGGAGCAGCCACAGAGGAAAGATCTTCATGCACAGCAGCAACAGGGACTTTTGTGCTGAAAAGAATAGCATTAAGAAAAAATTCAGCCTACTTTTTGTACAATGACTAAAAATGGTGTAAAACAAAGAACATCACTTATAAGCTGTAAACAAATCTCATCGAAACGTATTTCGTATTTTATTTGTCAGTAGCACACAAGAAATTGTGCTTCCTAGTTGTATATGATGGCCTGTATTGAAGTGGCTAGTATCATGCAGACAGTACAGCAGTTAGATAGTAAAAGTTCCACTAATAACTGATACGCAAATAGCAACGTAGAGTCTTAATCAAAATGGCAACACTTACAGCCAGCACATCTTTTATAAGGAAAAAAAAAAGCGATTACACCTTCCACATACCATCGAATGGTCACAATGTATTGTCTAGTGACTAGTGAATAGTGATAATTATTGTACCCAGGCACTCAGAATATGTAACATCAGATTAATCCAAGTTACAGATTAACATAAACAGTGCAGCATATTAGGCCCTGTTTGATTCAGCTTAGGATTATTATAATCTGGATTATTAGGAGTAAGCTGAAACAAACAAGTAGATTATTATGCTAGATTATTATAATCTATAAGCCAGATTACTATAATCCAATAATCTCCTCTAGAGGAGCTTTTTCCAGATTATTGAGTGGCTAAAGACCCACTACCCTCAGATGCCTCTAATAATCCAGAGAAACAAATAACTCGTAGATTATTTTATGTCAGCTTATTATAATCCAGCTTAGAGTAATCTGATTTAATAATCTAGATTACAACAATCTTAAGCTGAAACAAACAGGGCCTTAATTGTCAAGTATTGAGTAGATTACCCAGCTTCTTTTCACAGATTAAGCCTTTTGGGTAGAATTGTTTGGCACGTATATGTTAACAAATAAATAATTCTTGCAAGCTCTACTACCTTGGCAGGCGCGGTCCTCGGTGGTGTCGACGACCCACTCGGCGGCCTCCCGGAGGCGGCGCTCGGCGTGGCCCTCCGGCTGCCCGATCGGTGTGGACGCGATGAGCTCCATGAACGCGGACTGCCTCTCCCCGCGGCGGGAGGACGCCGAAGGGTCGTCATCGCCGAGGCCGATGGCGCGCCGCACCTCCGCGACGGACGGCTGGGTGGGTGGGGCCGACTTGAGGGGCTGGGTCGGCTGCGGGCCAGGCGCGCGACGGCGGATGCGGCGGACGGGCTCCCCCGCGGCGGCACCGGAGGCGGAGGAGGCCAAGACGACGGCGGCGGCGGCGGCGAGGCGCGGGGCGCGGGGCGCGGCGACGGCGAGGTGGCGGCGGCAGCAGCAGGAGGCGGCGGTGGCCATGGCGGACTTCGGGGAGTGTGTGTGTGGAGTGGAAAGTGTGTAAATGGATAAAGTTTAGAGAAAGATCTTTCATTTTCTTCTTTTTTCCCTACTGCGACACCTGTCACTATCACGTAATATCTCTCCACCCCACTTCACAAATCTCAAAGCACATTTGACACGTTTGGTTCAGTCCGACTAAGGCCATTCACAGTGCAAGCAGCCAAGCACCCACTGTGAGTTACCACGAGATGACAGCTAGAATAAAGACCCTCTCTTCACAGTGCAAGCACTGCGTGTGGGACTCAGAAATATCTGCTAGTGGGACCCACAAACTCCCAAGTCCCAACTCCTCACCGGCTCCTCCTCCCTCGTCATGCAATCCCCAAATCCACTCATCCCCGCCGGCTCTCCCCTTCTCCCTCCGCCGGCGCCGGCTCCCCTCCTCCCTCCGCCGGTGTCGGCGCCGGCTCTCCTCTCCTCCGGGCGGCGGCTCCCCTCCTCCCTCCGCCGGCGCCGGCTCTCCTCTCCTCCGGGCGTCGCCCTCGAAGAAGCGGCAGCGTTGTCCTTGGGGCCGAGCTGCGGCGGCGCCCTCGAAGACGGCAGTGGCGGCGTGGATCTAGAGCGCGGAGGACGGTGGAGGCGCGGGACGGCGGCGGCGGCATGGATCTGGGCTCTTCCTCTCTCGGCCGGCGACGAGGAGACGGAGCCGCTCGTGGTCGTCGTCCTCCTCGCTTTGTCTCCACTTTCCGCCGCCGCCGATGAGGAGAGGAGGACGGCGGCGGCGGCGCGGATCTGGAGCGTCCTCGCCGTCCTCCTCACCGACGGCGGCGGCGGCGCCCTCGGCGACGGTCCTTGGCGACGTCGCATCTCCTCGCCGTGTGGGGCCCACGCCCGACTTTTTGAGCGAGGTTGCTCATTCCTCTCCTGGGATGAGAAGAACCCAGTGTAGCTATGGGCCCTACCAAACTTTTTTCGCCACATAGACTAGGTAACGCGCCATGTAGGACTAGATAACGCCCACTGTGACCGGCCTAAGAGCAGGTACAATAGCAGGCAGCTATAAACATATTTTAAAGAGATAAAGGAAGAAAGAGAAGAGCAGCGGGCTACAGATTTATAGTCAGCTGCAGTACGGACTCCAAGATGTAACATGTGTATGATAGGTGGGACCAGGTATAATAGTATAGTAAGCAATTATTGTATGAATTGGCTATTATATTGGCTATAGATGAATTGGAGCTAGTAGTAGGCTATACTATTAAACTTTCTCTAAGGGTGTGTTTGCAAGAGCAAGTTCCGAACACTCCCCTCTCGTTTTTCCGCTCGCACGCTTTTTAAACTGCTAAACGGTGCGTTTTTTGCAAAAAAGTTTCTATACAGAAGTTGTTTAAAAAAATCATATTGATCCATTTTTTTAAAAAAAATTGCTAATATTTAATTAATCACGTACTAATGAACCGCTCCGTTTTCCGTGCATGGGAGATGGTTTCCCAACACCCACCTCCGAACACACCCTCTGAGCAAGTTTAATGGTATAGCCCACTAATAGCTCTAATTCATTTATAGCCTATTTAATAGCCAATTCATACCATAGTTGCTTACTACTTCCTCCGTTTCACAATGTAAGACTTTCTAGTATTGGCTACATTTGCCTAGATTCATTAGCATCTATATGAATATGGGTAGTGCTAGAAAGTCTTATAATATGAAACGGAGAGAGTATACTATTAATATATGGTCCCACCTGTCATACACACATTACGTCTTGTAGTCCATGCTGCAGCTAGCTACAAATCTGTAGCCCGCTGCTCTTCTCTCTCATCTTTTATCTCACTAAAATATATTTGCAGCTGGCTAATAGTCTGCTATTGTACCTGCTCTAAGAGCAAGGTTAAGGTGTTCACAACACGTCGGCTCAGTCATTTCCCAAGGAATGTTCAATAGGAACACGTCATGTTAGGCTCACCCACCTAAAGTTCTCGCTGCTAAACTTGGTCACATGTTCCTCAATCCAACCTAGGGGTAGCGCCATGCGAAACGAGGACTGTAGGCCTGTTGTGGACGCTTGTGACCTCACCGTGTTGCATTATGGACTATGTATCCTCTGAAAGTCCTCGGCCTACTTGGCAGCCTAGGCCTAGCAAATGCTTGGACACATTGCTATTGCGCTAGTAGCATTGCTGGCTGCCAGCGGTAGTATACGTCTAAGTCATGATAATATAGCAGTTAGATTATATAACGAGTTGTGGCCATAGCATATCTCTATAGAAGCTTAAGTGTATTTAAATATTTGTATGGATGCATTGATTTAATTTCTTTGGTCAAATCTACGCTCCATCCTTTCAACCACCTATGTTGAAGAACAAAATGATGTTAGTGCACATGGGATCTAGGAGGAGCGACCCAAGACCCACAAGCTGCATCAATTAGTGCTAACACTGGCGGCAAGACGATGATAGTGTCCTCTTTCACATGCTACTGCCTGACGCTCCTGCAAGCGCCTCCTCCACTCTCTCTCCTCATTTCTCTCTCGTCCACATAAGAGTACGTTGATGTGTATTTTTAATCGTTGTTGGTATTTCTTACGATTATAGATAAATCCGCAAGCGCACGGATATTGTTGTAGCATTTCACTCATGAGTATTCCCAAGGATATCGTATTTATATTTCCGCAGGGAAGGCGGCGGTATGAAAACATACTTATGCCTCCTTAATCAATCTATAGTATCATCCACTAGTAATTATAATTATTGTATTTTAAAACTTATGCAAGCATGCTTCAAAATCTATGCTAGGAAGAGAATATACTATGGTTACAAAGTGCTAACTTACGACAAAGGCAAACTTATATACTATGGTTACAAAGTGCTAACTTACGACAAAGGCAAACTTATCTACAAATCATGACAATCAGTTTTGCATGGGTGAGTATGGAAAGTATGATAAATGTCTCCTTTCGAAAAAAAAAAGTATGATAATGTCAAACTTAGCAGGTAAACCAGACAAATTGGAATTCGCTTGTACTCATTTTTAAATTGGCAAATGGGAGCTATGTGGATGTTGTCTCATCCTCTATTTATCCTCTATTGTTGTAACTTGTAAACATGGAGATACAATTATATGTTCTTAAGTTTGAGACTTATCTGAACCTAATAAACTCATGACTTCCCTGTCATATGAAGCCTTACAGTATGAATTGTATAAAAAGAAACCCATCTTTCAAACACTTTTAAAAAAGAGAGAGAGAAAATATACATACACAATAATGGAACATAGGGAATCAAGAGAACAAGATAGACATGGATTATTTATTTATTTCCCACGAATCTTATGCACAACTCCATTTGAGTCCCATCGTTTCACCTGCAAACAATTATAAGCTGCAATGTTTATTAGAAAAAAAATGACGGCTATTTTATATATGTGTTTTAGTGACATAAAAACTAATACTTAAAAATAAAAAACGATGAAAAACCATCAAAATCAACTCTAAAGTTATTTTTAAAAATTTAAATCCCGGCTGCGGCTGATAAGGTACACTGGTGAAAGATTAAAAGAATGCTAATTTTGATAGAACATGCATACATTAAGAATCTCGAGAATCCCTCCGTCTGGGCACCTGGCCAAACCAAAATAAATCGAGCGCTCTGTGATCCACCATGCATGTGCACACCTTTTTCTCTCGCAAGTTAGAGCATGCATATAAGTACTGCATGCAACTCTCATACCCATTCTTTTTTCACGAGGAATACTAACCATTTCATTATCAAATTTTAAACATTTTTTAAACCATTTATCCTATCTACGATCCATCATTATATTCGTTGTAATTAAACCTTTACAACAAGATAATACATGGAAAGATTTTGATGAAAAAAATAAATGTTCCACATGGTTTTATTGAATGTTTCTTCTAGTATTTTATGATGTTTCACTAGTTCATTTACAAATATTGCATATGGTATTGTTAGAATGTTTTGGTAAGTATTTTTATGATGTTTCAGCAGTCATAACTTAATATTTCATATATGATATTGTTGATATTTCTTAACGACATTTACTAGAAATATAATTTCCAGCAATGGTGCAGAAATACTTCTGGTATATTATGGTTATAGTGTTCATCCGCAAGCACATGGATATACCATTGTAACATTTCACCCGAGAGTATTCCAAGGGTATCATATTTGTTTAATCCCGTGGGAAGATTATAATAGAGAGAACCGTACTAATAATTTATATATTACTTGTAATAACCATAGTCTAAGAGGGATTAATATAATTCATGGGGTAGAGTGACACTAAGCAGAAGCATTTATACTCTTACTCATAATTATCTAAGTAGAAAGAATATAGAAAGATCTATTCCTATACTTCTAGTATACATATTATACATACATCCTAGTTATAATATTACTTAGCTAATACCCTCTTTCCGATGCTGTAACGCCCCGATTTTCGTTCGGGATTAAAATAAATCATTTAATAATGCATTCTCTAGAAATTAAATAAAAGTTAAACCAATTTAATCAAGTGGAATTATGGAGGAAATTAAAATTTCCTTTAAAAATCTTTGGCCGGGAATATTTTGCAATATTCTTTGTGCCCTAAAATACTCTCCGGATTTTTCCGCAAATTTTCGGAGCTCAATAAATAATTTTAAAGTCACACAGATCATTTAACCAATTAAGTAAAAAGGAAACAAATTTAATTCTCCTTCCTTCCCCTTCCTCCCTTTCGGGCTCGGCCCAAATTCCTCCCCCTCCTTCCTCTCCCGCGGCCCGCGCGCCTCCTCCCTCTCTCGGGCCGGCTCCCTTCCCCCTTGGCCCGCTCGCAAAAGTCTGTTTTGCGTCCCTCCTTCTCTCCCTTCGCCGACAGGTGGGACCGGCGGACCCACCCGTCAGCTCCTTCTCCTACCTCTCGCCGGCCAACCCCAACCGCCATTGCCGTCCACGTCGCCGCAAAATCCGGCACCCTCCCACACCCGAGCTCGCATCCCACGACGTGGGCACGATCCACTCCACGTCCTCCACCATTTTCCCCGCTCGTCCCACAAAAACCGGCGCCGGCCGAGCCGCCACCACCCCACGTCGGCGCCCCACTTCCCCGGCGGTTGCCGCCCCGACTCCGCCTCTCCCGGGCTCGATCCGGCCTCCCCTCCCCTATAAAAACATTCCCCGCACCTCCCTCTCCCTTTTCCCCTCTCTCCCGAGCCCTCCCGTGCACGAAAACCACCCCGCCACCGTCGCACCTCCCGCCGCCGCTCGCCAACGACCCTCCAGCCGGTTGCCACAGCCGCTCCCACCACCGTCGTTCCGCGCGACCGCCACCAGCGGCTTCTCCGCGTCGTGCCGCACCCCGGCGTCCGCTCCATTTCCCCTCCCCGCCTCCGAAGCACCGTCACCACGCGCACCACCTCCTGCCACCGCCGCCGCCGACTCCAGCCGCCGCTTGGCGCCGCTCCTAGCCACCCCAAGTCACGCTGTCGCCGCCGCTCGCTTCGCAGCGCCGAGGAGCACCTCGGCCGCCGCTTTTCACGGCCGGGATCCCACCGGAACATGGTTCCCCTTGCGCCGGTGCGCATCCGCCGCCCGTTCTCACCTCCGACCAGCGATTCATGCCGCTGGGAGCCCTCTCCCCCTCCTAACCTCTCCCCCATCCTCCCCAGGTCCTTCCGGCCGCCGTCCGCCGGTTCCCGTTCGCGGAACGCCGCCGGGCCGCCGTTCCGCCTTCGTCCCGAGGAGCGCCGACGCCGAGCTCCCCCGCCTTTCCCCGCCCCTCGTCGCCGCCCTCGGTGAGCACTCCTCCCCTCTTCCCTCTTTCTTCCCTTGGCTGGCCGCCTCCCGTGCTTGCGCGCGCCGTGCCGCCGCCGCCGGTGGCCGCCCAGCCCGTGTGCCGCCGTCGCTTTGGTCCCTGCCGCCGCCGCCGCCAGCCTTGTGTGCGCGCTGGCCAGGCCGCGCCGCTCGGCCGTCCCCAGTCGTCCGATCGGCCCTGGCCGATCTGGGCCATCCACGTGGTGGACGCGCACCCGAGGCCACGTGTGGACCATGTCCACCGTGCGCCCTCCCCCTTTGACTCGCTGACGTGTGGGGCCCACGTGTCGGCGCCGGCCGCCCCTTTGCTGACGTCAGCGAAGTCCATTTCCTTTGTAAAAATAAATAATAATTGCGCAATAAATCGAGTTTAATTTTAGAAATTCATTTAAATGGCTCAAAACTTCTAAAATTCATATCTAATTCATTCGAACTCCGAATTGAGCCATTCAACTTGCAAAATTCATCTAAAATTGAGCTCTACATGTTTGTTTACTTTTTATGTACTGTTTCCTTAGTTTTTATTAGAGTTTTTCCTCGTTTTGCGTGCCAGCGTGTAGTTCCCGTCGTTTCGGAAGATCGCGTTCGCAAGGATAAGAGTTCAGAAGATCCAAGTGAAGAAGCAAGGCAAGTCACACATTCCCCTTGAACATGTTGATCCCAATTTATAAATGGTTTACCGTTTACAAATAAATATGCATGTTTTGCTAATTACATGGGATCCGGGTATTACCTATCTGCTTGCTTGTGCCATGTTTACTTGATATCTGTTCTTTGTCAACCTTGGGTAATAAATCGACTAGCTCATATTACTTATGTGACCTAGCTAGAACTATATGCTTAGCCATGCTTAATTAGCACTAGCTCAGTTGATGGGATAATTACAGTATTAGACCTTTTTAGTATCAGAATGAGCTGCGTGCTCGAGACATCTGGCCATGCTTCATGGTCGTAATTATCCAACTAAAATGCGACTGAATGATGGGCTGTGGGTGCATGGTTTTGCTAGTCGCACCCATGGCAATTAAGGACCGGTTCGCGGGATGCCCTGGAAGAACTTATCGTACTTACCACAAGCCAGCGTGGGCAACGGCTGGACTTGTAGTGTAGCTTTCCTCTAGCCGACGCATCCAGGCAAGGGTGGGCGTGATGGAGCGGGGCGGGCCCTGCGACGGTTTCTGTCGCTTCCGGATTCACCTAGGCACGAGAGGGGACTGCCCGTTGCCCGCTGGGGACGGGGGTGAAACCTGAGGTGTGGTGTGCTTGGCTAGAGGGGGTTATGCGAAGGGTCCTGTCATGGCCTCTTTCCGGTATGTCGTGGTGGCATGTCGGCACACGGAAACGTGTTGTGGGGCTGTCTTGTGGGTATAGTTGTACACCTCTGATCAGAGTAAAACTATTCGAATAGCCATGCCCGCGGTTATGGGCGGTCGACCAGATTCACCGTGATTAGTCCCATCTTAATAAATCGACCCAATACACTGTAGTTCAGGTGGGTTGGTTGGGCCTGTTCAACGTGGTGTAGCGTTGATCAGTGGAGATTTATTGTTACTTTAATTACTCAACAGTTTTACTGTTTTGCTTAATAAAATATTTTACAACTGCCTTTATGCAAATAGCCACAAACCCCTCCTTGTATCCCCTTGCACGTCTGCATCGTTGGTGTGGCTTGCTGAGTACGGTGGTTGTACTCAGTCTTGCTATTATTCCCCCTTTTTCAGAAGTGTAGTGCTTCTGAGCTGAAGATGGAGTTAGAGGACCAAGGCTCAGACCCCAGTTGAGTTTTGCCTGTGGAGTGGAGCTGAAGCCCCGCTAGGATCGCCTTTTTCCGCTGCTGTCGTTCTGTTTAGGTGTGAGGACTAAGTGCCTCTTCCGTAAGTATTTTACGCTTTATTTACGTTTGGAACTGTATATTACTTGTCGTTTTGTGTACCCTGGCTGGTCCTGGACAGGGATTTAATACGCAAAATAGTCTGGGAATTTGGGTTAAATTTCTGGGCGTGACAGATGCCCTCCTGTACTTCAAGAAGCCACCCCTGATTACCGAGTTCCTTACAACAATCCATCATGACCATCCAACTGGGGCTAAATACGGAGGAGTACCCTCCTCAGAAAATTAACTTAGGATTATATACACGCGCGGAGGAATACCCGTACTGAGCTGTCACCATCAGCGGCCCGCTTCGCTTCCGCAACATATAACCCCATATAATGATATCTAGTAATCTAAACACCACGCTTAAATTACCAAATACTACTATAATATCATCGTCATGATAGAGTCATCGTAAATACCCACACTATTGCATCTCCCAGATAAGCTAGCATCATAATGAATATAACTTGGGTATGTAATAAATCTGGTATTCATATACTCGGAAAGTAATACAATACCAAAGTAATATAAAGAAGAATATTCTAAATAAAGTACAAGTCTTATAAAAGAAGGAAAAGCTACTAGAGCCATACCCAAATTCTTCCGAAGACTCCGAGGACTGAAGATTCTATTCTATTTCTATTCCACTATACTCTAGAAACTATATTAAACTTGATAGATGAAATGAATTTCTTGCTTGTGGTGTGTCTTGAAATGGAGAGAGTGAGCTCCTTGTATAGCCTCCCAATGACGGTTGTGACGGTTGGAATGGTCGGAAATACCCTCCAACCGTCATTGGGAGCTAATCCATACCGTCTAGCCGCAACCCTGCATCCAACGGCGCCAGGATGGGTTCGGCCGAACCAGGGGCCGACCCATTTTCGGCTAGCGGCCTCGTCTTCTGTTGCTCACTTCAGACTTGTGAATTTTGGCCCAATTGGTCATGTCATTTTTGCATTCTTGACCTATTCATTGATAGGTCTGATTCTCGACATTGTCTGATTGAATGATCACTTGTTTTGATGTCGATTCTTCTCCACTTAGTGTTCATTCTCTGCAAGAGGTTAGTAATCCTAGTGCCAGTGGAATATTTATTATTTTGACATAAATATGCATTGCAAGCATAACTAGTTCTCTTTTATTTAAGTAGTGTTGACGGACGAAACTGATCACTAACGACCGTCAACAAATATAAATGTGTTTTAACAATATCCATATAAGTATATCGTTTATTTCGTACGAGTCTTTATATGAGTTCACTGGTTGGGACTTGATGTTTCGTGCAGAGGTTGATGATATTGCAGTCATTATATTTTGAATGTTGCATTTATCTGGAACATTTTTTTAGCGAATTGAAACAATTTTTTATAAGTGGTGAAACATCATTAATTTTTTTTATATGTGAGATCTTGTTTGTAAAGATTTGAATTACAAGAAATACAACGGTGCAATCATATTATAGATTGGATTAATAATTTAAGAGAAAAAACATTTAAAGTGTGTTAAGAAAAGCAAGATTTGTATGGAGAGATGAGAGATAGGGAATTATGGAATATTGCATGTAGCTGATATGAGGCAAGGAAGTAGTTGACATACATGCTGCATGCAACAAATATGTAGGGTGCAACACACGCAGAGATGAGGCAAGGAAATACTCCCTCCGTGGTTGCTATATTCTGAGACGGATGAAGTAGTTGACATGCATGATGCATGCAACGAATATGTAGAGAGCAGCACACGCAGGAGGTGCAGGAGGGGGGCACCCGATTTTTCTCTTGAAAATCGGGCACCCGATTCTTAGTTACTCCCTCCATTCCATAATATAAGGGATTTTGAGTTTTTATTTGCATTGTTTGACCACTCATCTTATTTAAAAAAATTGTGCAAATATAAAAAACGAAAAGTTGTGCTTAAAATACTTTGAATAATAAAGTAAGTCACACAAAAAATAAATAATAATTCCAAATTTTTTTAATAAGACGAGTGGTCAAACAGTGCAAATAAAAACTCAAAATCCCTTATATTATGGGACGGAGGGAGTACCTCCTAAAAATACCCTTAGTTTAGCCGAAAGGCTACACTCAAAACTAACCTGATGTATACTAAGAAAGTAATAAATGCTCACAATTCTTCCCAACTATAGAGTACCATTATTATTACATTTACTAAACACCATAAAAGAACAATACAACTCTTTTTTACACCAAAATTTCCCCATATTCCCCTATGGCCCCACCTGTCATCCACACAAAAGCCCACCTTTCTTCTTATGGGCCTTGGGGCCCATATAAATTAGACCCCAGTACCCCACCCCTTCGCCGTCATCTCTCTCTAACCTCACGAAACCTAACAAGAAGAAGAAGAAGAGAAATTCCGGCAAGGAAGGGAGGGAGGGAGAAGTCGTTGGTGCGGGGGAGATTGATTTCGCGGGAGGGAGGGGAGCTCGAGAGGCGGTGATTCGGGGAGTCGGCAGGGTGGCGCCGGGTGCGGCGGCGGCGGGGGCGGCCGTCGGGGGGATGGCGGCGGCGGCGGCCGAGAGGCAGCTGGTGGTGGCCGTGGAGGGGACGGCGGCGCTGGGGCCGTACTGGCCCGTCACCGTGGCGGACTACGTCGAGAAGATCGTGCGGTAATGCTGCGCCCGTGCTTTCCTCCCCCCGCCGCGCCACCCTGCTTTCTTGTTACTAGTTGACTGTACGGCCGTCGCGGATTAGTGCATCTTGGATTTCTTGATGTGGAAGAATTGGACCCTTTGTTGATTGTTTAGCTGTTTATTTTGAGACGAAGGGAGTACATGGAACGCGAAGCGGTAGCTAGTTAGTTCTTGATAGTGGAAGTTAGCAGCTATCCGTGTATGTGTTTGATATACACAGTTTTTTAGTTATATTAGTCGGATATATCGTTCACTCCAAGCATTAGTAGGAGATTTGGAGATTTGTTGTTTGCTCTCACCTTCTTAATTGCAAACATTAAATGGTACTAGTTAGCTTCAATTCTGTTTCACAATGCTTATTCAAAGAGTAAGAATGCAAGCGCATCATCGATGTGTGGAAATTCGTGGTTTCTTGATGAACTGGTTGGTTGTTGGCTATATGGTGTTGTGGCACGAGATACATCTTTTTTTGCTCCTGATTCGAGGAGACTTTGTATCACTGCATATGTGCAGATCTATGACAGAATGTAGCATAATTCATCTTCTACTTTGGGTTTTATGCCTTTTCTAGTTCCTCCTTGCTCATTCAGAAGTATTTTTCTTCAGTCTAGCATATTTTAGTGTTTTTTTTTTCATGAATGATGAATGATTCCCATGAAAACCAATTTCAGTTTTTGGCTGGTGATTTTACTACTCTTCTGTACAACCAGTAATGTAATGATGGGATGTCTGTTTGGTTATGGTTATGGCTTTTCTGAAGTCCTTGTTTTCACTCTTGTTAATTAGTTGATGTTCTGGTTTCGCATGGGTGTAATTGGAATATTCATCACATGAGTCAAATTTCTTGTGTTCAAGCCTTTCAAATAAAAAAAATAATGAAAGTGGGAGCTGTTTGTATTGTTGGTCAATAATCAGTTTGCTCTGAATTATTAGGGTTTGTTTGCAGTTGCTATCCTCCTGTGCTTATTATTTAGCTTCTGTGGAAACAGTTAAGAAAAACTTCGTAGTCTGTTTGAGAAATCAAATTAATGTTAGACGAATTCTGTTAGTCAATTTAAACTGTTATTTCTCTGACAAGTGTTCTGTTTTTAGAACTGAAATAATATCTCTATTTGCAACTTGATTAAAAGAGCAGCAGTTAGCCAAACATCAAAATTTCTATAAGCTACTGTACGGAACAGGATTATCATAGTCCACCTCAACGCAAAATCCAAATGGAGCCTTTGATGTTATGTGGTGATCCACCACAGCTTCACTCTCATATACTTACTATCATGAAACTTTTAAGCTCATCTCTTGCTAGAAATTTTTGTCAATTTCTGTAGCACTTAGTAACCTTTGCATTTTTAGTACTACTATTCATGAAGCATTTCAATTTATGCAGGAGTTTTTGTGCACATGAAATGGCAGGACAGGTAATTTGCTCTCAGTATTTATCGTCGGACTTACTACTTGATCCATGTTTCCTTGACTTGTGTCAAAACTCAAAAGTGTAAATTATTATCGTGTTATGCAGAAGCTCGCAGGGACACCCCCTGAACTTGCATTAGTCGTCTTCCATACCCATGGTCCTTATAGCGGTAAAGTTTGATATCCTCCATGCCCTAAGCTTTTTATTATGATCCATTGCAATTATTTGTATTTAGTTCTATATCAACAAAACATGTAAGCTATGATAATTCGCTTTTGATTCCTTGCAGCTTTTTGTGTGCAACGGAGTGGATGGACAAAAGATATGAATGTGTTTCTTTCATGGTTATCTGGAATATCATTTAGTGGTGGAGGCTTTAGTGAAGCTGCTATTTCTGAAGGTCTTGCTGAAGCATTGATGGTATTGACATATTGGCATCGTTCAGTTCTTTTCACTTTTTGCACATAATGACTTCCTCTGGTGTTTCCTGTACTTTTTTTTTTTGGTTCAAAATGCATAAATTAGAAACTGTGGCTTACTACTTCCAAAATTTCAGTACTGCATATGGTTGCCTACTTTTGAGTTCCCGTGCAAGGTTTTAGCATTTTGTTTGGCTTGTGCAATCATGCTTCATTTGGCATATGAAATGATGTTTCTTTTTTGCCAAATGGCACATCTTTCATGTTAACATCAACAGTAGCAACCTTTAGTTCCAGGCAAGTTGGGGTAGGCTAGAGATGAAACTGATGTGCAGCCACAAAAAAACTAAGGGAAGTATAGTACTAGTAATAACAATATAGTTAAAGAAGACGTGAATTAGGTCATGATTCTGGGCATGTGGACCGCCAATTTCCATGCAACTCTATCCAAAACCATAATTCATCTCCACAGGAACGACTGGGATTTTTATGATGGCTTACCAATGTTATCGCAACATTCTTCCTTTACTCAGCGTTAGGACCAGCTATGCTGAAGCAAAGGCAGAGTTTGGTATCTTATTAACAGAGATATTTTGATTTCCTAGATGAAGGGAAATACCTCTTTTCATCTCTCACTGCACCTGAATTTGGGTCCAGTTTTGTCTAAATTAGTTGATCTACAATTTTGTTTCTCATAGTAAGCCCTGTAAACTATTAGTTGAGCCTGGACATTATGTAGAACCATGATACTTAACAATACATGTTCTACCCAACCTTTTGGATTACTTTATTTTCCAAGAATTATAGCTTGTTGTCTTGGTATTGTTATTTCCAGTATTCTCTAGAATCTGTCCTTTAATGCCCTTCTGCACAACATATGATTCATGTGAGAAAATTCTAAGGTGGTTTGCACATCCACTTATCAGCTATTGTCTCATAAAAAATGTCTTGATCTGGATATCAGCTACAGATAGCCTTACCTTAGTAAATAGAGTGTATAACTGTAATCACCATTTCATTAGGTTAATTTTTGTAAGGAAGATTTTCATTAGATCAACCCTATTAGGAAACTGGATGTCTGGGCCAGTACCCAGAATAAGCAGAGTGAAACTAGTATGATCAGAAGTTTAAATTCTATGAATGTACCTATATTAGTATGTTAATTTTCCTATGGTACTGAGTCTTCAAAAATCAAAATTTCAGTCTTCATCCCTACTATTATAAAGAGGGAATCGTCCTCCTCCACCTCCACATAAAAGCCTCTTTCCTCCATAAAAACTGTCCACCCTAAAAAAAACTGTTTACTAATAAAGCCAACCATTGTATAAACACCGAACAGCTCACTGGGCCCAAATCCTCCCACTAAACTTAATAAAAAAAACCATTGCAATGCATGACAGCATGAGCCTATAACTAGTTGAAAAATACTTGGGTCTTTGAATTTGATATCATTTTATTTCTTGAGTTCTCTATGAATTAAAGTATTTATTGCCTTTATGATTTTATTTCCTGTGTGCAACTAGATACTCCAAGGCAGTTCTAGTAACAGTCAGAATCATCAAAGCCATGAAGTACAAAAACATTGCATACTTGTTGCAGCAAGTAATCCTTATCCACTGCCTACGCCTGTCTACCGCCCCCTTGTTCAAAGTAGCGATCACAAGGAGAACAATGATGGAGCAAAAGAATCTTGTCTTGCTGATGCTGAGACTGTTGCAAAATCATTTGCTCAGGTCCTACACAAATACTGATATCTAGCATATTGCTGATTACCTGTGTTTCAATGAAGTGGTCAGCAGTCATTGTTGGTTCTAATTAATTTTACTTATATTGATGTAGTGCTCCGTTTCATTGTCGGTGGTATCTCCTAAACAGCTTCCAACTCTGAAAGCAATATACAATGCGGTAATTTCGTTATTTTGTTTTGCTAAATTCTGTAAGCCACAAGCCATCTTTAATAATCTTCTCCTGGTATTTTACTTGTTCATTGATGGTATGATAGTTGCATCTTGATTTACAGAGGGTTGAAAAACTCACTTAAGAATATATCTTTTAAAATAAATTATAAGCATGAACTTGCAGAACTGGCCGCTCCACTATTACATATGTTCTTGTACTTGTACACAGTACTAAACTTCATATTTTCATTACCATTGAAATAAAAAGAGTAAATTTTATCAAACACCACCTATTATGGTCCAAGTTGCACAAAACCACAGGGATTTTGGCACATGACACATAACCCCATGTATTATGGCCCTAAGGTTTAACAAGACCACACCGTTAACCAATTTTACATACTCCTATATCAAAGTTTTAAAAGTTTTAGTTACATTCATGTAACATTTATATGATGGATAAAAAACTCATAAATTTGTGATGTGATTTTATAAATGATCAATAGTGTGGTTGTGTGAAACTTTATAGCTATAATACCTGGTGGTTAAGTGTCACGTGCCAAAACCCATGTGGTTTTGTGCAACTTAGACCACAACACCTAAAGGTTAAGTGAAATTTACTCAAATAAAAATGAACTCAGTTTGGATTGTACTGTCATTGTATCTTATTTGTGGATAAGAAAAATATCCATTTATTTCATTTTTTTAATTAGTTAGTATCCTGCCTGAACTTGCTAGCTAGTCTTTGTATGGTTTACAGACTATAAATCTATGAATTGGCATCCTTATCTATCATTAGTTTAATACAAGCATTTTTTAACTTACATGATATAAATTTTATCTTCTGCAAGACCTTCGACAGTTTGTACTGATGAATAATTTGCACCAGGTGCTGATGTTGTCCATGTTTTGTTGCAGGCAAAGAGGAATCCTCGAGCGGCTGACCCATCAGTGGATCATGCAAAAAATCCACATTTTCTTGTTTTGTTGTCTGACAATTTTTTGGAGGCTCGAACTGCTCTAAGTCGCCCTTTACCTGGCAACTTGGTCACAAATCACCCCATTACAAAAATGGATACAGCTGCAACATCTGTGCCAGTACCAACTTCAAATGGCAACCCCTCAGGTTGAACAAATGCTAACATTTGGCTTAGTCTTGCCATGGTATTTAGCCTTTAGTTCTGTTCCTCTTTTGGACGAAAGGTTGTGACGTTGTTACGATGTTTGTGAATATGTAGGTGCTTACACATAGTCTAGCGTGAGTCTGCTTTAACAAATGCTTGACACAGCTTTGTTAAGGAAAAAAATGTTAGGCTAAAGTGAAATAAACCATTGCCATAATTACTCCATGGGCTGAAGCAACATAGGTTAACAATTATCGTTGCATATATTGGTACGCCTGACTATTTTAATAGCAGGAAGGATTCTGGCAATGCCCTTATGCCATCCATTTTTGGCCCGAAAAAAGCATATCATTGAGTTTTCAAAGCCTTAGAGGAATAAAATGTATTGTGAGCTCTCCTCTATTATGAACACGATGTGCTTGTGCATCTGACATTACATGGGACTACAATATAATTTCCTATAGTTTATCTCCAATTTGTCAAGTACAGATGCCTTGAGCTGGAGATGAAGAAAAATGGATGTACTGAATACACAAACGTGAAAACCTGCCTCCTAAAAGCTTGTACCATTGTGTTCTATTTGTCCCCTTCCCATCTGGGTGGTTTTTCAATTGTAGTGCCAAGAAAACATAGATTATTCTATAATGATTGTGTCTTCATGGTTATCATTGGCATGGGGTCACAACTAATTGTTTGGACTCTGAGTGATAATGCTTTCAATGGCATGGTGTCTTCGGATTGATGAATTCTATATGGATAACAAGTTTTGTTTTTCAGCATCTTAATCAAAATTAACACTGAGGATACAAATATATCGCAATTCCTGTTTTTATACACAGCAATGTGGTTTTAAAGGTATTCGTGGATATACATAATTTGTTGTTTTTGTGAGTGTTGATGAAGCCCCTTCATTGTTTGTTTCATAAATAAAATTTTACAGTTTAATGTTATGAAATGCCAAATTCTTATTGTTTGTATTGTACATTGCTATGTACTAATATATGCCAGATTGCCCATCTACCTAATTAAAGTGGAACATATTTCAAGTCTAGCCAATTGCTGGTTTTATTTGCATGATCCAGTTGTGATAAATCTGGAATTGCCTTATATAGAAATTTGTTTTTGGCTTCTGGTTATATCCGTATCATTACTATCTTCCATACTGAACATGACTAACTGTTATAAGTATTTTTCAGTTAATGGACCTATGCTTACCCGCCAACCAAATGGTGTTGTTGCAAATATTAAAACGGTAAAGCTTTGAACAACATACTCTGTGACTTACCATTTTGCTGTATGTTTTCTCATTGTGAAAACAATCATCACTTTCAGGAGCCAACAACTTTACCGCCCATGGTTTCTGCACCTGCTTTCTCGCATGTAACACCTGTTGCAAATGGTGTTTCACAAGGATTATCATCAGTACAAAGTCCCTCACCGTCCCTTATTTCACAGGAAACTAATCTTGCAAATGATAGTGTGCAAGAACATAAGCCTTTAATAAACCCTATCCAACAGTCAATTCGACCTGGTGGTCCAGCAAATGTCAGCATCCTCAACAATCTATCACAGCATCGGTCAGTGGCAACCATTATATCAGGTGGAATGCCTGGCATCCCTATGTCTGGAACAGGACAGTCAATTGGTAGTCAACAAGTCGTACAAAACACTGCTTTTGGATCAAACACACCCATAACAGGCAATTCAAATATTGCTGTGTCATCTTCTTTGGGTGGCATCCAAAGCAATATCGGTATATCAGGGCCTCCTGTGACACAGGGAGGTTCAATGGGTAGTACGCAATTGGGACAAGGTGGAATCAATACAAACCAAAATATGATAAGTAGCCTTGGGACAACAACTGTCTCTTCTGCACCTGCAATGATGCCAACACCAGGGATGGCTCAACAGGCAGGTGTAAATTCTCTTGGTGTGACCAACAGTTCTGCCATGAACATGCCTATAGTGCAGCATCCTAATGCGCAGCAGCAGCAACAGCAACAGCAACAGCAGCAGCAGCAGCAGCCACCGCCGAAGTACGTCAAAATTTGGGAGGTAAAAGATTCTGTCTTTGTCTAGCATCCATGTAGCAATTGGCTCTACCCTCCAACCCTCTAGTAGCTTAGTAGTTGTTTGCTAAATATAAAAGGAAATATTCCGTATGACACACATGTAATTTAATGTTTTTCTAATTCTGACCATGAGCTGCAATAATATATGCACCCTCCCAACTATTGAAATCGTTTGCCTCAAAAATAAAAAAGGAACTATTTAAACCCTTCTGCTAATCAACCAGATGAGATAGGGCTGTGAATGGTCAGAGTTAGTCTCTTTATTTTTTGGCCTTTTAACAGTTCCCAACCTGCTTTTTCCTTGAGAAAGCCTTCCTGAGATAAAAAGACAACAATTTGAAGGTTGACCTCTGGGAATTCAGCCTGGTGTTGTCCTTTGTGGCAGTGTTTTTGACTTCAAGTGCTGAGTCATGTCCTATTAACCAAAGAAGAAAGTAGTGGACCCACCATTGAAGATGCTGATTATTTTTTCATCCGAGTAAAGCCTATTTTACCATCCTCAACTGTGTTAGTCTAGAAATCAACCTCAGCAGAGGCCCCCTTCGTACCATGAACCATGCTGGTGGTGGAAGGGGTGCGACTATTCTGCAATACCCTATAGACACATGCCACGTGTCTCTAGGGGCAGGTCATTTGCGGCATCAAGGTGACACATAAATCGCCTTGATCTGTTGGCATTAGCAAAGGTGTTGAAGGGTCTAGTTAGTAAGAAACTAACATTAGTCTTTAATCTATTCTCCCCTGTCCTTGTGGAGTTGTGGTGCAGCTGCTTCGATGGTATTGTCTCTCCGTGTGCAAGGACACCTCAATTAAGTGCATAAGAACCTGTATGGCTGTATCCATACCACATTCATTTCATGTATGAAGAATACTTCCCTAAAAGAGCTAACATACGAGCACATGATTATATCTAAATTAGTTTGAAGTCAACTGCTTATTTTTCCGTGTCATTTTTGGTTGTTTATATATTAGTAATGTAAATTTTATGTTCTATTTATCGTGTCTCAAGTTGCCTATGTTGATGATACTGGTATCATCAGTCAATATATGATTTGTTTGTTGTGGATGCATAATATGTAATGTTTCTATTTTTATTTCAGGGAACTTTATCTGGGCAAAGGCAAGGACAACCTGTATTTATCTGTAAACTTGAAGTAAGTTTCTGTTTGTTGGATGAATTGTCTGTGACTCCGACTATTATCACCCCCCTAACTCTGCCCACACAGATGACCTTTGCTCATTATTATGCCCATTTGAAGCTGACTGTCTCAGAAAGAAAAAAAGATCACAAGAATCCCTGAATTGTATATATTATTTGTACGATCATGATTGTTCAAATCTTCTGTTGTCACTGAAATGAAATTATGTATTTCATAGTTTCAGTGTGCACCTTTATAGCTGGAATATAGTGGCTATCCTTTTGTTGTAACTACTTGTCCTACATTTTTTTTTGTTTCAACACATTTATCTGCACAAAGCATATACTTTAGTTAAATTTCTGACTTTTAGCATGTCTCACAGGGTTACAGGAGTGGAACAGCATCTGAAACGTAAGTTTTCGAATTGTTGCAATGTTCTTGCATTCTTTTTTTTTTTTTTGTAGTTCTGTTTTGTGTCTATTAATGGTTGTATTCGAACCAACAAATCACCCAATGTCGGTATGCCCTATTTTAGTATTGTTTTGTAGAAGAACTGGAGCAATGGCTGATTGGTAGCTGCTTGGTATTCACAAGTTTCTGTTCCATGCAACAACTAGTTAAGCCATTGCTTGTTTTTAAAAAATAAACTGTACTGTACAAAAGGTCTACGGTACAAGACCAAAATGGAAGCAACTCAAGTTATAATGTTGGAAGTTTTTAGATATAATCAATGAATGCTGTGGATTTGCTTTATACTCCCTCCGTCTCATATTATAAGGGATTTTGGGTGTATGTGACATATCCTATGTCCAGGTTCGTAGTACTAAGGATATGTCACATCCACCCAAAATCCCTTATAATATAGGACTGAGGGAGTAGTACAGTGCCTTAATCTTGTTAAGTGAATGGAACCTCCAAACCGATCTTGCAAAATTCCTAATAGGATATTTTGCCTAATATAGAAATGTCTTGTTCCCTTGCACTGAACATGTACCTTCTATAATGTCGTTCCCTTGCACTGAACATGTACCTTCTTTGTCCAGACTTGCAGCAGACTGGCCTGAAACAATGCAGATTGTGCGCCTTATAGCTCAGGAGCATATGAACAATAAGTTTGTCTCAGCCACTCCATTTCCATGTTAAAAATGATCCATTCTACATTCTCATAATTTGAATCATTCTCTCTTTTGTTTTTGTTTATTTGTTTATTCTGCAGACAATATGTTGGAAAAGCAGACTTTCTAGTATTTCGGACATTAAATCAGCACGGCTTCCTTGGGCAACTGCAGGAAAAGAAGCTGGTCAGTGCATAATTTAACCTGTTTAATGTTTATTATTATTTCATGCCACAATTATTTGGTCCCACATCTATTGCATGCCACTCATATGGGTCCTTCAACTAGTCAAATTAGTCCCCAAGCTTTGTTAATTGGCTCATTGTAATCCCTGTGCCTATGTGTCACCGCATGTTGTCTCATCTCACTCAAGTCAGCGACTAGGTACCTAGGGTCTCCAGCCAACCTAGAGTATGGGACAACCGAATTCCGTTTGCTAAATTATGTAATATAATTGAAGACAGAAGTAGGCTGCTGTTATGCTTGAGGGCATATCAGTCATTTTATATAGTCTTGGGTGGCCTCAGGTTCCCAGCAGATCAAGGCAATGTTTGATGGTTGAGGGATACATGAACTATTAATCCTTCCGTTTAATCAATCATCACTTCTTAAATTTCTGTTAATGTTTCGAGTGGACTTCTGTTTCAGTGCGCAGTGATTCAACTGCCTTCGCAAACTTTGTTGTTGTCAGTGTCAGACAAAGCTGGGCGCCTCATTGGCATGCTGTTCCCTGGGGTACGTTGATTGCAGTTGCGGCTATCTCTATCTGCCTTGCTGTTTACCATTTTTCCGCTGTAGCTGAAGTAATTCCTTTCCCCCCAGGATATGGTGGTGTTTAAACCGCAGGTACCAACCCAGCAGCCACCAATGCAGCAACAACAGTTACAACAGCAGCAGAACCAACTACAACAGCAGAATCAGCTCCACCAGCAGCACCAGCTGCAACCACAGAACCAGCTGCAACAGCAACACCAGCTGCAACAACAGTTACAACAGCAGCAACTACAACAACACATGCAACTGCAGACACAAGGCCTTCCGCTTCAGCAGCAGCAATCCCAAGGCCATCCGCTTCAGCAGCAGCAGATGCAGCAAATGCAGCAACAACAGCAGCAGCAGCAGATTCAGCAAATGCAGCAGCAGCAGCAGATGCAGCAGATGCAACAGCAGCAGCAGCAGCCCCAACAGCTTCAGCAGCAGCAGCAACCGCAGATGGTCGGCACAGGGATGGGGCAGCAGCAACCACAGATGGTCGGCACGGGGATGGGGCAGCAGCAACCGCAGATGGTCGGCGCAGGGATGGGGCAGCAATACATGCAGGGGCACGGTAGGACGGTGCAGCAGATGATGCAAGGGAAGATGGCGCCGCAGGGTCCAGGAAGCATGCCGGGTGCAGGGAGCATGCCTGGGGGTGGCTACCTATCTTGAAGCACCTGATAGCCTGAATGCCAGAAGAATAAGTGGGCAATTTAACCCAGCCCTTTTGGCTGCACAAGCTATATAGCTCATGGATTACTTGCCCAGCATCCTAGGTAATTTTCCCACCTTAGTGTGGGATACATAGTAGGTGTTCTCAGTAGTTTGGTTTTGGCTGTGATGTTTTACCTGTAGATAGCGTCTTGGAGCCTACACGGCCTCATGTTGTGTTTTGTGTAGCTTCTTTTGATGTCACTGCCTTATGCTTAGCTTGTAGCTGCTGGAAGCAGATCAAATTTAAAGGATTAATTAATTAATAGTAACTCTGTTTAAGGATTGATTGACCAATTTCACTTGGGAGCCTCCCAAATAAATATGACTGCCTTAGGATTTTTCAGCTTTGTAATTGATGCATCAAGAGTATGGCAGAGTGGCAGTAACTGATTAAAATTATTGTCATCAAATTCGAACCAATTTACCCTAAATTAAAATGCTGGCCTATGAAGGAATCCAAACATATTGGGATTACACAGGCAAGATCATTCACAGAAAAAGATACGTTCAAGATGACCATGACGATGAAAAAGGGCCTGCATAGGAATTAAATTGTCTGCCCACGGTGCTAAACAACAAACAAAATAAACTTTTATGTAAATATTGCTAACCATATCATTACAGTTTGGTCTTGATACTGCTCTACAGTTATGAGTAACATCAATTACAATAAATAGAATCGAGAAGAGTTCTAAATGAAACAATGACCGCCCCAGCCTTCAATTTTCTTCCCTCCAAAACACATGTTAGCTTTCAATTCTTCAGACATCTTTTTTTCCAAAAACAAAACAAACTATTGGAATGGCCAGAACCAGTACAAGTGCATTTTACTCTACAGGTTGGCCAATGATTTGTATGCGTCAATTTTTCTTTGGATCCGAGCTTCCGTTCAGGTAGCCTTCAAGAATTGTGTTGCAGGCATTCATGGCTCGCGCATCCAGTAGACTGTGGTTCCAGAGTTTGACCATAAAAAACCTCCAACACCTGTTCATCCAGCGATAAAAAGTTGCAAATGAAACAAACAGCTAAAGAGAGGTGTCTGCATCTGTAGGCAACAAGCTACACACGCAAGGCAAGGCATTGATCAATACTATATTCTTATAATCAGCCACTTACCATAGTAGAGCTGGATTTTGTACAAGTTCTTGTCCATGAAACTGCGAGAATGCTTCGCATGCCCAGGGAATATGGCCATCCGCTAGTACCCTGCAATTTTCCACTTTTCAGTAAGACGGTTGAAATATGCAGTAGATAATGAATAAAATGACTGCACATATGTAAAAGGAATCAAGTGCCCTTGCAGTTCTGATGTCACTGCTTAACTCTTGGTATGGAAAAAAGAAGAAAAAAAAAGTAAAAACAATCCTTTGGGCATATAGTTGGTAGAGATAGAGGTGGGATTCAATGTAGATGAGGGGTGCTAGCCCATGACAATGTATGGTTGATTACGTACGCCACAGGCAACAACAGCATGGTGATATATGTGCGCTTAGGATGCCCAAATGCGACTGGGAGTAGTGTTGGTGGCATCGGCAAAGGTGCGAGAAACAGAGGTGCTGACAATCATGGCATCTTAGTAAAGGTTAGCAGCAAGGAGGAAGAAGGCATTACTAGTATTAGTTTTTCCGTCCTAAGAAAATAACAATCAGAGCCATAACACCTGGCACATTACAAGTTGTAATTCATGGCTCTTAACCCATGCAATTCTTAAAAAAAAAAAACATGCAACATCTTCATGGAAGAAATCCTTCATGATAGTTTCAGACATGGTATGCAAATGAATATAAATGTCTGTTCACCAAGCTGTATACCACAATAATAGATAATGGATATAGCGGGGAAGGCCTGACCTTTGTTTCCGAACAAATGAATTCCACATATGCATAATAAGTTTCTCGTCTTTTGTAACATCAACAAAATCATCAAGCATCTGCATTTACTCAGGGAAGTTAAGGTATCAAGAATTTGGACACATTTATGTATGAGAACAGAGCAAGCATAGTAAACTTACTCTTCTATCTTCAAAATCAGCAATGTCATCATCAACTTCATCTTCACTATCACGATCTGAGAAAACTTGCTCCAATGCCATTGGCTACAACAGTGTAACTATGTAGTCAAGCTAGATTTCAATTTTATTTGAGCCAGACTTCAAACGGATGCAAAAAAGATCATGTCTTCATAATTAAAAAAAAAATGACAAAAGGGGAAGAGGGGCTCAAGTTTGGCCATCCAACCATAGATTCTCCACATAAGATTAGCTAGATATGCATGCGTTTCCAAAGTGGCTGGTTTTGAAATCTGTTACTGCAAAGTTTGATAATATATATATGCCAGTGAATGTGAAATATGCCATTGTGAATAATTTTGGACCAAAGCACCCCTGTTTCTTATTCCTCCATTATCCTTAATTCATTGTTTTCCTGTCGCCATGGGGGCCCCCACAACTAAAATTTGCCTCATGCACTAGATCCACATGGTGGCTATAACCAAGGCTGAGCTACCCGCATGGACTCATGATGAGCATCCATGTTACTGCCATATCCACAGGATTGAGCTTTTCTACAGCATAACGTTGCTGGGGTTACTTGGGCTAAGATGCTGCCATGCTCACCCCTTGGGATAGCAGTGGTTCAAACCAGTGATTGCTGTGTCAACGGCAACGTGTGATATCTGTGTTGACTTGATCCTCAAACATGGGAAGTCTCGGGTGAAACCTCACCAAAATGGAGTGAAATGTGAATCAGGTGTTCAGCCAGACTTGGGGAAGATGGTCATGCCAGCCCTATGCCAAGTGACATGACTGGGAGGGAGGGAAAGATCCCACTGAGTACAACAGTGGCAGTTAGCCATGGGAGGGTGATACAAGTTGGCAATGCTATATTTCAAAGGGAAAACATTTCCCAGACCATGGATTCTTTTTCTGGCAGCCAGGTCCCTGATGCCTTAGTCATCGGCAAGCTTGATTTGGCACTTAGTCAGTTCTGATCCTTTCCTACAGTTCATCCTTTTTCTCTATTTCTATTTTGTTGACCCAGTAACTAGTCCAAAAACCCTGGTTATTCTTGGTTACGTAACTTACTACTCCCTCCAATTTCCCAACTGATCATCATATAACTTTTTTAAGGTTATTCCCAAATGATCATCATATTAGTATTCATTCACTAAGTCTGTTCGTTATTCTGTGCATGGGAGTAGATGGACATTGGTGCATGCGTCCATGCATACAATCCTTTACAACCAACATGCAATGTTTTGATTTGTTAGTGGCTAGGAAGTATTGGGGATAGTGCATGCAAGTTTGTTACCGAATTAAATGTAGTATGAGAGAATTATTAGCTTTCCTTGGTCTTGGTCTTATAATATGATGATCAATTGGGAATGGAGGTAGTAGTAAGAAATCGATTAGTTTTTTAGATGAGAAATGCAGACGAGTAGGGAGGACATTTTCTGATGTTTCTCTCGTGACCATCCAGAGTGATAGCAGGAAACTTTTGATTGACGTATAGAAAATTTCACCATCTATATAACCCTTTATTAACTCCAACTGTTACTCATCTATTTGTTTTTCTGCAATATCTTTCCAGATAATCAAATTTTAATTCAAGAGGGAATCTAGAAGTAAAGGAAACAGAGCAATAGCGCATTACTTCCCAGCATTCTTTTAAGGAGACAAACCTCAAGTACTCAGACACTTTATAATTTAGACCTCTTCTACAAAAGTATAGAAATCAAATACTAAGATTAAAGGCGCAACAGTTATGCATTTGTAGTCCATATAAAATATGAAAATATCTAACTTCAGCAGCACCAGGCACCTAAATAAAGTGTGAATGTAGTTACAAAATCTCAAGTGCGTGCAGGAAGTGCCTCAAAAAAGTATAGAAACAATAAAATGAGCATACAGTAAAATCTCAGGTGTGTGCAGGAATTGCCAATAGGTATATGTATGCAAGTGTAAAGGCAAGTAAAGATCATACAGTGAAGTCAACCAATATAACAACACTGATTCTGCTACAAATATATGCAGACAGAAGATAGATGAAGAGAGATGAAAGGTATCGATTCACTCACTTGAGCCCTGTGAGAATGAAAGAACTGGCGTTTTTGTAGGAGCTGCCGACTGCGAAATAATATAAGCAAATAAAATAAAAAAAAAATAAGTTAGTTCTAATAGAAACCTCAAGAAACATTTATGTTAGTATGACTAACACAGTATCAAGAGCATCAAAAGAAAGGATTACTTTCTGGGATCAGCTCGTTCAACAGACAGCTTTCTTGTCTTCCCAAACTGTAACACTGTTGGTGCTGAAAGATTGCTACCGTGTAATGAATTAGCAGGATCAACAGAAGCGTGTGCTACAGAACTACCTGAAATTTAAGACAATCAACAAAGTTGAAAAAGAAGATCGGGAGCTGGATCTGGAACATGGCAGAATAATAAAAATCAGAAACAATGAAAGTTTTCTCAGTCACAAAAAAATTGTGGAAAATCCCAAGAGTGCCAAAAAGTAGCCAAAATCCTCCCCGGTACCAGCCAGTTTCTAGAATAAAGTAGGGTCCAATTTTGTGCCATATGGAATGATAAGCAAAAATCAAGAAACAACCAGACTAATAGACGTGGCAAGAACTCAGCCGTCCATCCCAAGAGCTATTTTGAACTTGACTAATCCTAGCATGCAGTGCATCAAGTACTCAGAAAGGCTTATCTGCAGAATATGATAATTTCCGATGAAGCTAAAAAAGAAGATAGCACATATATGTTAAAAGGATGTGCAGCCTGTCAATCTGTTTAATAAACTATAGGAGTAAATGAAGGGAGAGAGCAAACAGATGTCCACTTATAGACAGGGAAAAACCGGGGCCTTTACTATTTCACCATTCATATGTAATGTGTGGCAGTATGAAACCATAAAGTGAGAAAGTACCATTTTCCCTCTGCACGTAATCGTCTTCAGATCCTGCCTGGGCATCTTCAGGTGATCCTGAATCCACAATATGTGGATGTACATGCCTAATTTTATCACTTGAGATTTCCACCCTTTTACGCTTCTTAAATCTTGAGCTGATGGAAAACAGTGAGGAAAATCAAACAGAGAATGAAGCATTGTCAAAATATATAAAGAAAGCATACCGGTACGAAAATGTTTGATGTCTTGGATCAACTCCCTCAGCCAAAAGCTGAAAATAACTGGTATTATGAATTATCTAGACAATTAAAATGGAATGTTTTGATGTTTCATACCACTAATTTACCTCTGTTCTCCAAGAATCAGTCTTCAGACTAACATTAACAGCCTGGCACTCTTCAGATATCTGTGCAAACATAAAAAGAAAGGTTAAATGACCTATGCGAAGGAGCAATAAGATCTTGCAATGGAGATTCCAGAAGTTTACCAACCCAAAACTCATAATGGAAAAGGTCATGCGATGCGTTTAGGTGACATCCTAGACCCTAGTATAACAAAAATCACGACATTAGATATGACTTGATAATAAGTGAAATGCAAGTCTGCAGAAAGAGGATAAAAAAGCACATGGACATAATTTACTCACTGGGTTTGGAATAAGCAACGATGCAATGATGACAAATGAAATAACAAAATAATACTAGGTGTTACTCCCTCAGTCCCAAAATATAGCTACTTCTAGCGTTCAAATTTTGTCTCAAAATATAGCTACTTCACCTACTTCATAATCTCAACCAATCACAACCATCTCTCATTTAATTTCTCCACCTACTTCCTCATCTCAACCAATTACAACAATCCCTTATTTAATTTCACCTATCCTTAATCCCCGTAAAAAACTCCAGAAGTGCTTGATGTTGGGAGTACCATAAATATATCAGGTGAGATGAACCTTGGGACCAACTGTTAGCAGTAGTTAGTGACATCTGAATCAACTCAGACAGAAGAAAATTTGTGCCAAGACTTTTACCTTAAAGCTGCCACATGGTACCAAGCAAAATGGGCAAGAAAAATCTTCAGTGACTGGAAAGAAGTCATCAAAGAACAAATATCAGAAAAGTCAACACAAAGAGCAAAGAATCAAGAACCCATTAAGAGTATTATCTCCAATAACAAATGCCACACATTAATTCAAAACCGAACAGAATGTTTGCAAGGTATCTAACTCAGCTTTGCCACAGCTAGCAGTCAAAATGATGGGCTAACCAAGGTAATAAGCATTCATAGCGGCCCCCTACTGCTACCACTACGAGTAGCGGACTGGACATAGCAGACTGGAACTTAACGGCCGCTATTTGACTTAGCGGACACAATAGCGGGCTGCTATTCAACGTAGTGGGCCGCAATAGCATGAGACCATCTATGGCTCTGTTCGTTCCCCAGGGTTCCCAACCCCTCTCTCTCGTTTTCCGCGCGCACGCTTTTCAAACTGCTAAACGGTGTATTTTTTGCAAAAAGTTTCTATACGAAAGTTGTTTAAAAAAAATCATATTGATCCATCTTTTTTAAAAAAATTAGCTAATACATAATTAACCACACGCTAATGGTCTGCTCCGTTTTCCGTGCTGGAGGGTTGTGTTCCCAATCATGAGGAAAGAACACAGCCTATACAACCCTAGCTCACTTTTGACTCCCTACCCTGTCAAAACATGAGACTAATGGAGATAATGATTGACAGGTTCATCAATTGTTTTGTGGCTTGTTTAGAACACATACATGTATATCACACCAACTGTCATATATTTTGGCTCGTCTAGAATAAAAGAATTCCAAAGGAAACAGTCCAATCCCACAGGAATCGGGAAAAATTCTGATTCCCAACAGGGCCAAACATTCTTTGCTCTCCCCTTACATCCTGGGAAATATTTCACATGTTTCATAATGTTTCTATTAAAAAACGTCCATGACTTCTGCCCCAAAAGAAAACCCATTGAATTCCGTATTCATCAATACACTATTCTATTGTTCGAACTTATACAAAGGCTTTTTTTTTTTTGTTTTGTCTTCTGTACGTGTAACACATTATTTATTGTCTCAAAGCATGTTACAGCATCAAAACCATTATAATAACTTAATAAGGTAAGCATATTTTCAGCTCTTAGAGCTTGTTTTTGGCAAAACTGGCTCCTGTACATTGCACTAGGCATATGCTGAGACAAATTGTGAAATCAATAATTTCCTGGTGAGCATTCCAGAACTTTGGTCGTTTGTACATCAGACAAATTAGACATTACTAATTGCAAAGCTAAAAACAAATAGCAACAGATGGGTGCAAAAAGCAACAACATAGAATGAAAGGAAATTCAACTACACGAGAGAGAGAGAGAGAGAGAGAGAAAAACGCGCCGGGAGGGGGGGGGGTTACCTTCGGTTTTTTGCATAGTATTATTGTAGTATTTGTAGTTAAAAAGCACATTGCCAGATCTCAACCTGTGAAAACAGAACAGAAAATATTAATCAAATGCAAACACATTTTCTTCACTAAAGTAATCCAAACTCCCTGGACAGGCTTGGCTAGGCTGACTTCAACAGGCTCCAATATTCAATAGCCAAAAGGCCAGGTTCCCAGCGCTAGACAAGTATATGTGCAATATTATTTTGGAAAAATCCCATTATATTCCCCTCGGCTATAGTAAAAGCCCAGCTTTCTGTCCAGATGCATATGTTGGTCAAACATACCGAGACATTCAAGGTGACCAGCATATCACTGAATTTTAAAGAGAAAATAGAAGCCTCATTGCAACATAAACATTATGTGGAGAATCATGTATGCAAGGTCGTGTCAAGTGATCAGTTCTATGAAATGCCATCTCAAAAGCGTTTTTTTGCCTTTTCTTTTGCCATCACAGTCAGTTGACCTCCGTTAATCCCTATGGAAAAAGTCTATTTTACCCTTAGAAGTGCACTATCATCCTAAGAAGCATTTCATATATTCTAGGGGTAAAAATAGACTTTTCGCATGGGGTAAACAAAGGTCAGCTGATGGTGATAGCAAAAAGGAAAGAAGAACCACTTGCACGATGGAATTTTGTAGAACTCACATTCGTTGATGCCAATTTGTTGAAGCGATCACTTATCAATGACAAAACATAGAATTTCTCTCATGTAAACTAGAAGATGGAAACAAATAAAGCACACAGGAAGATTGAGGCACCCAAAGTCCCAAACACAATAAACTGCAGGATTGAACTATCAACTCATGATTGCTACCTTATAATATGTGTCAATGACGAAGGTGGCACATCATTATATGAATAAACACTATAAGGAGACTCGGACATGTCTTTTGCACCAGCCTCTTGAGCAGATATGCTAACTTGCAGTTGAAATGAACCCTGCAATAGTAAAACTCAACAATATCAGAAAAGCGGTGGTGTATAAACTCGCTATTGTCTGACCCATATAATTTTTTTGATGGAAATGATTTTATTAATAAACAATACAGGAAGAGACATGAAGGGCCTTACAGTAGCATCAACCTTCTGAGAGCAAAATGTCAAGCAACTGTCATCCTCCAGAAATTTTGGCTGCATGCATAACAAAAGGAATATGATGTGCAGAACAATTTCTGTAAATAGCTGAAGTATAGAACCCAAATTGCACTGGTTATTTCATGCTAACTTAATTGTTTGATTTGGGATTTTACCAACTGTACTTTTGGAATATGATGTGCAAAAATATACAGATTAAGGTGTTCTATTTTCCCAAAAGCAAGTTTCATATGATGCAAATGGTGGTGGTTCATGTATACTTTTCTTAAATACTATGGATAAGTTATGGTACATACTTTAAGAACAGCTGAGCTTAATACTAGGAAAAGTCGGCCATACCTCTAAGAAGCTTGGGGTCATCTCAACCGTGGAAGACATTTCCACGGTATGTCCCAAACTTAAGCTCACACAATTTCCCAAAGATGAAGCAAGAAGATCGATTGGTATTTTACCCCAGAAACACTTCCCTTCAAGCTCTGTCAAAATGCATCACATGGTTCATAGTTAGTCCATTTAACAAGAGAATAATTGTACAAAACTATATTTGCATGTTTGATTTTTGAGCGTCATCTTTTGCCTCTACACTGAATTTTAAAGGTACATATTTAAAACTATATATATGTTTGCTATAAGCAGTAGCTGTAACTGCGAGGATCCTTTCAAAGGGTGAAAGCATGAAATCTAAATTAATCACGATAGACAGCCTATTAATGTGTCTAACCCTGTCCGAAAAGGCAAAACTAGTAACATAATGTTTCACGATAGTTTGTTTATTTGACCGCAATACACATTCAATTTTCATTCAAAAAAGCAGCAATGCATTTAGTAGGAGAGTTTGTTAGTTCTGGGTTTTTAGTAAAAATAAGCTAGGCCATAAGATCCCCACAAGTCCACATGAACAAGGCTTCTCATGTCGCATATAGTTGTTTACCACTTCAAAGTGTAGGCTGTTTCAAATTGGGTTGGTTGATAAATAATTTGAGGCAGGCATGAGCTGGATTCAGAATGTTGTGACAGTTTGCTCCATATCCATAGAAAGTGTAGATATATGAGCATTTAACACTAAGGAAGAGGGTGTGCACATGCCTTTGTGCTCATTCCAGTCACTGGTTGAACCTGAGTAAAAAAACAAAATCTTCCAACATAAAGAAGCAATATATTCTAGCCAACCATTTGCTAGTTCCAAACAGTGTGGTACACCCGTGTTGTGTGGCTAGGGTCTGTTTGTTTCCCCTATCAAACTTTACGACACTTTTTAACAACTGGGTAAATCACTGCATGGGAGTACTGTAGGCAACTAAACATGCCCTTAATGTGTCCATTCAATTAATCTGGCTACCCACAAGTTCATTCTTATTCTAGCAATTTTTTTGTGCCTGCCACCAAGTTGTCAGCCATAAACTTACTTTGGAGAGTAGAGCCTTCCACATGGTTCCCAGAACAGTTATTGTCATCAAAAGTTTGCTCAGCTCGTCCTTCCAAAAGAAATAAATAAATAAAATTTTATGGCAGCAAAGAAATGTAAAGAGCAAATGGTTGCAAAGAGTGCACCCTGTACCACAGCTGATAAGGATAATATTAAGGCTGCAAGCTCGGGAGGTTGCTAAGTTCTTCACATCAGGAATGACGAATGTTGCTTCAGTGTAGTCTTTATTTCCAAATTCATGAAAAGAAGTCAACAAACAAGCACGACTGAATCGATATATCGGAGAATGCTGCACATCATGATCATTTGGTAAACACAAGCTTAAAATCTCATGTTACAAGAAATTAAATGATGGTAGACTTACCCCTTCAAGTGAAACATTATTAGTAGGTCTAGCTAACAGAACATAAAGAGGAAAGATATTTTGTGCCCGCAGTTCTTTATTTGTGCCTCCAGAAAGTGATATGGTTATCAGGCTCCTATATTCATAAGCAGAAACTGGTCAGTACTTTCATGATGCAACAATTCCAATGCATTATTAGTTTACAACAAAGGTTGCCCCTGAATTGAGCCAACATAACTTCTTGTGCAACCATCTAGTTCAAGATCCCAACTGTAGTTGAATCCCGAATTAAAAATATATTGTTTTTTGGATTATTTCTCCAGCTTGTGTCTGAGCTATTTGGTTGAAATTTGTGAATTTGTGACGTTCAGTTTTAATCTTCAATACATGTGTCGTGCTTTTGTGTAAATTTATGGTAATTGCTTGTCTTAGCTACGGGTATCCCAGCAGGCCAGCAGTAAATTTTCCAGCAGTCCCAGTGTTCTCATGGCTCAGTTCAAAGGGCCTAAACGTAGGTGCATATTATACTCTCACCACTACAGAACTTCCTGGTTTACATCTGACATGAATACGATATAGCAAGATTTTCAAAAAAAAAACTAAAACAATTATTTTGGCCATTGAACTTTGAAGTCAGTTTTATCTATCTTCGCATTGGAGATTATTAGCAGTAGTTACTGAAGGATTAAAATATTAGCCTAAGCTATAATGAAGATGGACACTCGAGCATTCAAGGGCAGCTATTCCAAGGCAACCAGATTTGCGGGTCGATGCCACGACCCTCAACCACAATACATAGTCCTGATTTGCTGGTCATGGTTGCCAAGGGTTGCTGTCCAGATCAAGGCTAGAGTCGCGACCTGGATCAACTTTGCTGCTCCCAATCGTGACCTGGGTTGCCATTTATGGTGGCTCTCCTCTACTCTCACCACCAAGCATCTTTCTTCAGCTTCTCTCTCATCACTGCGCTCTGCCACAACCTCTTGCTTTTCTTGTGCGTATGGTCTATTCCTTGCTCTTTTTGTTGGGGTGAAGAAAGACTTCCAAGGAGAAGAAAGGGAAAATAGAACGAAAGGTACAGAATGGGTCCTACTCAACAGCCAGCGGCTCTTTGTTGAAGAAAAGGAAAGAGAGACCAAGAGTGAATGTGTCTGCAATTCTTATCCGATAGTTTTTTTTAGGAAATTTATAGACAGTTTTATCAATGGAATTTATCCAATTCTATAAAAACTTTTATTGATGGAATTTATCCAATATATTGTCTCAGCACCCGGCAGGCATTGTGTTGCTTATTACTTTTATCGTTTTGAGGATAGGAGAGGTGAACAGCTGGATGTTGGAATCTTTCGTGCAGAGTGTGTATGGGCTGAGCAGATTGGCAGCCACAACACCCAAATTTTCTTGTCTTTTACTCATCCATTTATTTTGCCTATCGTATATGCTTATAATATAAATTCTCATATCTACTTTCCATAAAAAATGGTTATTAATTACTCCCATCGGTTGCAAAATTCTTGACATTTGGATATGATCTCACATACCAAGGAGTGATTTATTAGGGTGTCTATTCCCTGTTTTACCCATATTAAATACGGTCCTGTGCTAAAGTTAATCAATAATTTGATGTAGCCCAGTGATTTGAATCCAGCACTGGATTTTGTGTTTTGATGGGATGCATGCATGCAGGGGCAAACAAGCCAAGATGGTCAGCAGATAGAACCAAACACATCAACAATTAGCATCCTCTGGTTCCAAGCCTAAAACGACAAGAATTTTTTAAACCAGAGGGAGTAGGTTATTGGCCCAGATATGATGGTCTTGTGTCGTTGTTTCTGGTACTTTGCATGGATTTGTGTCAACTAGTATATACCCATTATGCTAACCTAGCATGGCAATAGAAAATGCACTCATTTATCTAATTAGGTGTTATACATGGTAAGCACTAAGAAGATTACATAATAATGTTTACAGCTTCTTGTTATACATTATGTCGAACCCATTTTGGCCATGCTTACTGAGACATTGAATAAGGCAATAAGCACAATCTTTGGTTGCGAGTCAAAGCATACCTCTTCTTCCGTCTTGCGTGAATCTTGTAAAGAAGGCATCTTTGAAGAAAAGCAGGCTGCAAAAATTCAGCGAGTTCATAATTGGTATCCCAGAGCACTTCCATGTTAAAGGTTTGCATGCGCATATGCTGATGCAAACTGCATTAAAAAGATGGGCCTTATAATTTCAGGAAGAAGCATTTACATTTTTAATGGATCGGCGCTGAATGATATTATACAACTCGACCGGCTTGCAGTATAATGCGAAGCTTTCTTCAGCTGCAAGCTGCTCATCGGGAGAGAGCCGAGCCCTTGGCTGGTGGCGGCACATCTGGTATCTGCGGACCGGGGGGTGGAAAAAACCAAAATCAGCATCCAATTATTATCCCTGCATACAAGCACCACCATGGACTAGCACTGGCGGATCTAACATGGGACCCCTTCTCGGGAACCATCAAACTGTAACTAGTATTAAGGTCATGGGGCAAATTTCTAGAACAGAAGCTAGGGTTAACGAAAATTCGAGAGAGAGAGAAAAAAATGCGTAACGAATGCGGCGGAAGCGGCAGGACGAGCGATGGATGGGGATCGGCGGTGGGGGCGGGGGGATGTGCTCACCAGGATGGATGCGGCGGAAGCAGCAGGAGGAACGACGGCTAGCCCTGCTCCTGCTCCTGCTCCTGCTCGCGGGAGGGATGGGGATCGGCGGAGGCGGAAGCGGTGGGCAAGGGCAAACTCAGCATAGCTCGCGCACGACGACACCACGGAGGAGGCGTCGAAATGGCGAGGGTAAGTTAGTAATTTCGCCTACCACCCCACCCTAATTGGAATTTGGAAGTATGATAAATGAAAATAATGGCCTGTTTAGATCATTTTGCTGCGGCAAATTTTTTTTAGAAAAGATTTGGCATTGCAATTTTACAAGTTGGTGTTTAGATGTATGCTAAAGTTTTGTCATTAATTGCTGCTGCCTCTATCATGCACGGGATCGATGTTTTTTTTTTGCCAAATTTGCTACTATAGATTCCCAAATGATAAATGCCAACTTACCTACTTTTTGTTATTAGTGTTTAGATCCATTTTACCAAAAAGTGGTCAAAAAGGGTAAAACTTTTGCCCTTTTGGAGGATCTAAATAGGCCCAATATCTACCACTTCTGCTAACATTTTCCAAATAGAGCTCATGGGGCTATGGATCCTTTCACACGGTGAATTTTTATTTTACTTTTTTTATAGGGCTGAGATGGTGGAATTTAGGGATTTTTAAGGCTGGATATAGGTATTAAGAAAGTAGGTATAATTAAATGAGAGAAGCAGACCCATCGTTTCGCTTATTTGGGGAATAAGCGAAATGGCATAATTGCAAACGAAAAATAATTTGTGAATAAAACTTTTATATGCATGTTCTTAGCAATCTAAAATCAAAGGCTGAAAAATAAGCTTCGATGAAAAAAAACTCAAAATCAACTCCAAATTTAAGGGCGTAAATTTAAAATTTGGCTGATAAGCATAAGCATAAGCATAAGCAAAAACATGAGGCTCAAAGTTGTGGTTGGTTGAGAAGTGGAGATAGATGAGAAAATTGAATGATAAAGGGTTGTGGTTGGTTGAGAAGAAAATATTATTTTAGGATAAAACTTAAAGGCTAGAAGTTGTTATATTTTAGGATGGCTGGAGTAGGTATGTTTGGGTATTGCCCGATTAGACATGGCTCACCGAACAGGCCGTGCCGTGTCGGCCCCACGTGCTGTATCTGTAGCCCAAGCATAGCCCAGTGAGATGTCCGGTCATGCCATATTGCCTTGGCACAGTTAGGTTACGTGGGCTCTGTGGAGGCTGATTAGCCCAAACTTGATATATAGTAAGAAAAAAAATGTGAATAGAGTTCGTTGTATCCTGCTACACAAACTTTGACGAAGCTCTAGCGAGGTACTCTGGTCACCGACAATTCATTCCTTTTCCTCTCGTCAAGCACCGCCGTGGCCCTTCACTTACTACTTCCTTCGCCCCGAGCCGTGAGCCCACAATGACCGATACGCTTAGTAGTTGTGCTCATGAATGGGGTTAGCCACAACACGACGCCACCGTGCAAGCCTACATCGTCGAGCATCCTCCATCGCTACCTTGAGCCCATGGCTTCCTCAATTTTTCCGCTCTCCTTTCCTCCTGGCTCTTGCTCAAATGTTAGTTGCTCGACTGGCGATTGTTCACCTGTCATCGGTTGCCATCGTGCCACATGGCCCAAGCTGTGTGCTATTCCTAAATCATGTCGTGCTGGCTCGCTACAAGCACTTATCATATTGGCATGTCGGGCCGGGTAGCATCCCAAGCACGGCATGGCTAGACGGATCATGCCAGCATGACCCTCAGCCAAACGTGCAGTGTTGTTCTGGGTTGTGAGCTTCACATGCGTGACCCGGTGGACACAGAAGGACCCAACCTATTTGACAACCTATAGAAGGATTTGGCAAACTCATATCCATTCTTATGTTTCTACAAATAAAATCAATTAAGATGCCTATGTTGTACCTAATTAATTTGATTAGTGTCAAATTAAAGGGGACCTGTATTTTAAAAGATGTTCCCTTCCATAATAGCGATTACACTCTAGCCAACACTAAAAAAAATAACACATTGTTTTCCCAAAATAACATGCAAGCACAATATAATCTAGAAAACTGTCAGGGTTATGGATACCACATACCTAATAGTAGTTGACTAAATCTCGGCATGACCCACCACATACCATGTCTTATACAGAAACAACCTTAGGATATAGGAGGAGTTCCGCATAAGGAAGGATGAATAGAGTTCTACATGGAAACGATAAGGACTACTCGGATTGTATCCATATTGGTTTCCCTAGTTCTACTTGGACAAGAGGACACCTATGGGTATAAATACAAGGCCCCCTAGGAGGAGAGGGGACACGGAACAATAGATCAAGACACAAGATCAACATACAAGCCAACATACGCCAAGACAAGACGCCAGATATCGACTTCAGAGATAGGCATGGCTAGTCCCCTACAGTGCCTATGGCTACAGTCAGGAGAGATATAGCGATGTCTCTGATCTCGCCGGATGCGGATTCAAGGAGGAAGGCTACCCTGTTGTCGACTACGAGTCAGTACTACAGACCGCCAAGTCGACAACAGTTAGATAGGCTACCCCAAATATTGTACTGGTGTGATTATGGTGAATAAGAGCAATACCGGCTTCGGCCAACAGGATATAGGGTTATTACCTGACAATTCAGGGGCCCGACCTATATAAAAAGCCTCGTCTCCGTCTCTTTTACCTAAGTCTCGCATATATCCTAGTAACGATCCCCATACTATGCAAATACCGGAATCGCGACATCAAACGTCGACAAAAACATATCCATTTTCTTCTTGTTTTTATTAGATCGATTTCAAGTAGTGTTATATGAGACAAAATTTATTTCAATATACAGAATGAGGATAAATCGATTTCATGGGGATATACACATTTGTGTTGCTTGTCTCAATGGTGAAACAACTCAACATAAGCATATATGGTATATAATTTATTCAAATTATGGATTACTTACCATGAATTGTTATATTTTTTGAAGTTATTTCAGTAGTTTTTTTATTTAATTTATTTCATTAGTTTTGGCCCCTTCAAAACACAAACAAGCCTCAGCTAGCCAGGGCAGCTGCTTGGGCTCGTCGGCGAAATCTCCATTAAATTTTAATGTTGATGAGCAAATTGTGATAAAATTTCTATAGCAAATACTAATTATATTGAAGTTTTCCAAGTTTAAAAATCTTTCTAGCTCTGCCATTGGATAAGGCTGCATGTTGTCTTCCCCTAATCCCCTTTCTATCTCGGTGATCAGTGCTTCTATCCCTACCTAGATAGTACCTCCGCTTTTTTAATGTATGACGATGTTGACTTTTTTTATCAATGTTTGACCATTCATCTTATTCAAACATTTAGTGCAAATATAAAATATTTAAATCATGCTTAAAAAACATTTGATGATAAATCAAGTCACAATAAAATTAATAATAACTAAATATTCTTTTTAATAAGAAGAATTGTCAAACATATCTCAAAAAGTCAACGGTGTCATACATTAAAAAATGGAGGGAGTACATAAGTATTGAGATAATTAAGCTGAGAATGAGTGCTACTACAGGCCCTGTTGGCCTTGTGTTTCCTTACCTGCTACTACAAGCTTGTGCTCATGTTCGAGCAAAGTAGCAACTGTGGTTGTGTTCTTCCTCACTGCCAATCTGCCATTGACATCTCTCTTTTTCCTAGTTGGTCACGTGGTAAAGTTCTCAACACTCCTCCTTTGTAGGAATGCATGTTGGCCTCTATTCTGCTTTGGATGATTTGGAAAGCTAGAAATGATTTCTATTTTAAAAAGAAAATCCGGGAACCCATTCAAGTTAATTTTGCAGCTCAAATCATGTCTTCAAACTTCGTTTCCTATGTTGATGTTCAAGATGAAGATCATGACTCTCAGAATCATGAAGTTAACAATTGGTCTTCTTTCATTTCTGCTTCAGTAATTCGTTGCTATATTGATGCTTCCTGGAAAGATGGTAATACTAGAATTGGAATCTCCATTCACAACTCTGCAACACATAAAGCTATTTTCATTCAAGCTTCTTCTGATTTCCTCTCTTCACCTTTACAAGCAGAGCTTGCAGCAATCATCACAGGCATCTTGATATGTCAAAAGCCGAATATTACTGATGCTACTCTTTTATCAGACAATCAGGAACTAGTTAATTTTTGCAGGTTCAAGACTATGATAGTCAGCCTCACCATTGGAGCTTAAATTCTTTGCTTCCTAAATTTATTTCTCTTGCAGGAAAGCAGGCTCTTAACATCAAATAGATTTCAAGACATGTTAATAAAATGGCTGACTACCTTGCCAAAAAAGCCATGGAAAAAACTAGTCAAATTCTAAATCAAATAGTTTGTCAAAATATTACCCACTTATGTTCTCATTCTGGTTGTCCTACTAAGGCAGCTTTGGAATCTTCTCCTTTCATGGAGAATGTATCTCTGGTTGATGTACTGTGCTTTTAAAGTTAATAAAGTTTACTTAATTCTCAAAAAAAAATTGGCTTCCTGTCAAATCCTTTGACATCTTCACACACTCGCACATCGCCACTATTTAGTTCACTGCTAGTAATGTACTCCCTATGTCCCATAAAAGCCTAACTAGTATTGGATGAGACTCTCGCCTAGATTCATTGTATTAGAAAACATCACATCCAATACTAGATTAGTTTTTCAGACGGAGAGAGTATGGTTAATTAACCATGCCAATTGTTAAGCAACAAGCCACTAGCTCTATCTCACCCATGGACGTAATTGTTCCATCCAAAGAACTTTTTCCATGTTGTATACGTTGCACGTTATCAATAGAGTTGTTATTGTCTTCAGAGCAAGCTGTTTGTTTCCCTGGATTGATTAGTTGGGCCACACTATAATATAATTTGTGGGATGCTGAGCCTTGTGCTATGTTGCGTGGTACAATAATTTAGCCAAACAAGAATTTCATACAAGACCCCGCAAAAAAAAGAATTTCATACAAGAGCTTAAGTCAAGTTCTAATTTCCTTCAACTTCGGAGATACATAACATAATTCCTTTTAACTCCAAATTAAGATATCAGAATTCTCCTATAACTAGCGAACTATTCTCTTTAAGAAAAAATGGATGCTCTCCCCTCATGAAAACTTGCTAGGACAATCAGCTCCACCAAATGGATTAGGGTATGTTTTCTTCTGACATAAATGTCATTTCAGCGGATGTGGACAAATTAGTGTTTCT